GTTTAAACAAGTATATATGTCTATTGTGTACCCAGGGAAGCATCACTGAATCTCAGGTGTATATTTCAAGGTCCCACTTGGGATGTTTTGCTTATTATTTGTAGTAAACTCCTTTGTCAAGGCGCTCTCCTCCTCACACCCAGCTTAAAATACGCTGCCAAGCTTAGCAGTGTTCATTAGGATTGCTGTCTTTCCGACAGCTCTGTTCTTCATCTGAGGATGGCTGCTTGCGTTGTGGCCGAAACGTCGTGAGAATTTTATTATGTTTTATGTTTATTATTTCCCTTCTACATGACTTTACCGAAAGAACCAAGAATATGAATCCCTGCAGTCATGAAAGCTTTAAATGGAAATAAATTTTCAGTTACTAAAGGTCAAAAGCTAACTCCAGACGAGTTTCAATAAGTATATTTATGTCAATGCCCTGCACAATCAATTGTCTTGTAGAAGCTGGGATAAAGAAGGTAGGGCATCTACCCATACCGTCTCATGTCAAAGATTGACCCGTTAAACTAAGTTGCAAACGCATTAATATTCATCAAAACGCAGCTGCTATTCTATACAAGCCTAGGGAACCCGGTATAATAAAGTGAGAGAATAGTTATGTCATGCACGCGCGACCGCTTACACTCAGTAAATATATATTAAAGTCATGTATACACAATGATGTCATGTGCTCCATGTGAATATTCATTAACTACTTAGCATACTGCATGCATTTAATGAAGATTCTTAGTTGGCGGTGTCCAGGACTCGCATAGCCAAGCGACATGTTAAAATAAGTGGGAGAAATGTAATTAGCCAGTCTGATTTACTATATTGTTGACATATTTTTGTATGCAGGTTACAACAGGAAAGCAAGGTACAAAACCCATACGCAAGAATCAACATTTGAAATTAAATGGGACATGGGTCATGTTTGTCTATGGGCCCTATGTAAAATACATACATATGACGGGCCTATGTAAGTACAGTACAACGTCGCATGTCCGACACACTGGGGACTGAGGTCTAGACGGATATATGACAAGATCAGACCTGTGAAGTTCTACTGAACATGACAATTGTGCAGTGCACAAATACTGCACTGGGGGTGGGTGGTTACTTGGTCGGAGTGGATATGTGATGCTTGGATATGTGTATGTGGGTCCACTGTTATTCTATGGGACCTATGTAACAATTATTTAGATGTGCTGGAAATAAACCTGTGTTTTATTCAACTTTAAGTACATACAATGCTATTTTCATGAATGGTATCTCCGTATGGGAAAGCTTAAACGCATCTTTCAAAGGTATGAAATGTGATCAAACATGCTTCTGTGTGCTCACAAGCACACAAAACCAGACTTTGCGATGCTATGTTCGACAGCAGGCTGTAAACACCTTGCACACCTTCCTCGGGGAGTTGAGACACGGGGTGCAGGTCGCAAGTTGTTCGAGCCCACTGGTGAAACTGGTTGAAAAAGGGAAGTCTGAAGCTGGCATTTTCTGCTTCTGTAGTGGCCAGAAGCACATGCCAACATTGTATCTGATGCTGTGTCCTAGTTTGTTTTCACACGAAATGGCCGTCACAGATCCGGCTACATGGGCCCACTTTGCAAACAACGGTCATGCCAGCGTCATGATAATTGTCAGAGGGTGCAATTAAGCCAATTATGCGATTGAAATAAAACAATTTGCAGTTAGAAAACACCACGGACTTGCGTCACGCGCGACACGTCGCAAAAAAAGGGTGGGTGGGCGCACGTCATCCTGCACTGTCGCTGCAGATCAAATTATCCAAATTATGGAGGCTGACAATTAAACAAAGGGCCCAACACACACCCACGAGTGGAAAGAAAGGCCGTGGGTTGGAATATAACTAGCACATGGCCTTGACATAAACATTTACGACAGTGCAATGGCAGCAATTTAAATCGCAAAACAATTCTTGCATACACACCATCCATTTCGAGTTCATTGTGGGCAGATGTTCCTTATCGTGTCCTCATGAAAGATTGCCGATGCCCGGATCACAATGCGGCGCTCTTCCCAGTGGTGTCTTGAACTGGATGTGAACGGAAACACGCGCAAAGAGATGTACAACCTCGTAAAAAAAAAACACAAGAAACATTTGCGTGATATGGTCATTTAAACAGCAAACATCCGAGTTAGGAATTAGGCAGTGCACAGTATTTAACACAGTAAAAAAAGGCCCTTTACACGTTTAGGAAAACCTGCCCAATGCTTAAGACTATTCTTTCGGAGGGTCTTGCATTGTGTTTGGCTTTGTGTGGAAAGAAATTGAGGTACTCCGAGGAAACCCACACATATAATGGAATAATGCTAAAAGCTCTGCACAGATTCAATCAATTGGTGTACTGCCATATTCTTCCCACCTCACAGTCCAGGGCTACAGCACCTGGCATTCCCACAAAGTCTGCCATACGACGTCTAATGAGGCTTAGTTAGCCCTGCTTGGCCTCAGAGATCTGACGAGAACGGTGCATTGAGGGCGATTTGAATCATTCCCCCCACGCCAAATAAAAACAGTGAATCAGTGAGTTTTACCTTGTAATAGTTACTGTTATATGAATTCTCAACGACACAGATGAATAGAACCGTGGTCTTTCAGAAAATTAAGTGTTTTCGGTAAGACATGCCCAGCTGCAGACTGGCAGAGAATCAATTGTATTTGCCGACTCTGGATTATCTGAGATATTGGGTGGAGGCCCAGATTTAAAAAAATTACAAAACATAAATAAATGAGGCTACAACACACGTTGGGACCGTTTTGCCAGTATGACAGAATAATAGGCTTTACCCTTTCTGGAAATAAAACAGGTGGCTTGTGTAGGCCAATCAGTTTCAAATACAATGCACATTATCAGAGCATGTTCACCACAAGTACGTGTGGTTGATGCAGACATGATTCCTTGCAACCGGTTTCTGTTTGAACATCTAAACACCTGCATTATTGCCAGAAAGGGTAAACCCTCTTATTATGTTTTACAACACGCATTGTTTACCTATGTAGAATGGGGTTGAAGACATGGCGTGCGTCATGCTGTTATTTGCTCAAAACGGAGCTTCAAAGCCCATCCGCATTTCTCCCGGATAAAATACGAGATTCCGATTCAAAAAGTAATTGGTTTACTTGCAGGCATGTTTGTGATCACGTAGCTAGCCACTGACCCTCGATGAGTAAGGAGCAACTCCGAATTAAATTGAGCACGAATTTAGTTTAAATCCCAAGCGAACGGCGAATATCCAAGCCGGATAATCTGTTCGTGGATAACACAACCAAGGGCAATCCTAGTCAACAGCATATTAGGATCATCAGTGAGGCATATCGAGTTCCATACAGTCCTGTCAAATCACCAAGAATTATCAAATCAACCGAAGTGCATCCGATCTCGTCAGTTCTCAGAGGCAAAGCGGCATTTTGTACCGGGATAGTACATCGTTGGGTCACCACACAGCACAAGCCAGGCGCTTTTGATTGCAACATTACACTGTACTATGCTCCCACGTCTGTTGCCTACACCGTACCGACATCCCACACACAAAAACCCGCACAGACCAGCGTGGTTTAAAGTACACACTTAAACACGCGCCCACACATTCTCTGCTCAGGAGAACCGATGTGGTGTTTTACCTGGGCTCCAACCTTCATTCATAAGCGCTCACCAGCCAGACGTGCCCCCCCCCCCAATCCCCAGCTACACTTACCGCTGTTGCTACCCCCCCCCCCCCCCAGTAGGTACACGAACATTAAAAAACGAAGACTTTTACACCCCCCCCCCCCCTGCTGTCACACAACTACAGGATAAGGACCTCACAAGCCACGCAGTTTGCAGGGTTTATTGGACCGTACTTGGCCCAACGGGGTTTGGTGAATGCGGGCAGCATAGACGTTTTGTTAAGGCGGGTTGACGAGGGGAGGGGAGGTATAGAAGTACAGTACAATAGAGTTCCCTGTGTCGCCCTCTGTTGCGAAAACAGCATCGCGGCATCCTACAGCGCCTGGTTAATAACATACAGCGGCGGTCACCCATCCGAGCACTATCTCAGGCTCGATTTGCCCCAACGTCGCAAGCCACACCACCCCGCTTTGTTTCCGAGACAAAAACGCAATCTCCGAGGCGATATCTTGGTTCGGCGTGAAATCTCGCAGACGGTGTAACACAAAAAAAACCACCCCGTAACAAATCGCGTACGAATTCGCAAGCCGGGCAAAAAACAGTTTCAACGCGGGATAATATTTTATGTTAATGATGCTTTGTGTGAGAAAGCTTATTAGCATAATTTATTACGGCGTTGCAAAGAGCCTGCATCATTAAGGACCCTATCAGGAACGCGAGAAAAACACGTCTTTTAAAAAAAAAATCACCACACGACAAAAGTTAACGCGTTAACATCACCACCATCACCAACACCACCATCACCACCATCACCAACCACGCCGCTTTAAAAAAAAGAAACCCCGAGATTACTCGCAAACGCGGCGAAATCATTTCGGATTTTCACGGCGGTGTGAGGGGTGGTGGTGGTGGTGATAGTAGTAGTGGTGGTGTTGTGTGTGTGTGTGGGTCGTGTACGTACAATGGGGGGCCCACCGAACCCACGCCACCCAATGATACCTGTCGCAAATCACGCGCGGAGATTTCTCTGATTTCTCCCGCTCGCATTCGGTCGGCGCCAAAAGTGGTCCAAACCCGCCGGCTCAGAGGCCCCAAACAAACAAAAATCTCGCGGTGGAAACAGGAAAGATCAGAAATCAGCGCGAAATCAGCGGAGAGATTTCGTCGGCGCCGTCACGGGGGGCGGGGAAAGGGCGCGGCGGAGCCCCCCCCGATCTCGCGGAGGGAGATCATGATCGTGACGTCATGGCCGCGTGGGGGGGGTGAGGGGGGGGGGTTGAGGGGTGGGGGGTTGCTTGGATCGCGACGGCGAGCGGCGAGGGGCCGCGCGAAACGCGTTTCGTATTTAGTCGCCACCACCCACCCCCTCCTTAACTCACCAACGCGCGATTGAAAAGTGTTGGGGGAGGAGGTTTTGGTGGTGGGGGAAGTGGTGCGAGAGCGAGTGAAGTGACTAAGTAAATAAGTAAATAAATCCCCGTGCCCTTCTTGCTTGCCTGCTTGCGCGTGTGTGTGTGTGATAGTAAAATTAATAATGAACGCCGCGTTCATTCCTGTTTGCTGGCGGGGCTTGCCTGCGCTGCTCTACGTTTATTTCCAACTGATGGTGGCATTGGTGGTGGTGGTGTTGTTGCAATGAGGTTGTCATTCCTGGCGACGTGATTGTTACTCACATCGGCGTGGGCTCGCGATTGGCACTCGATTTCTGGCTTCGCTATGGATTGCCCCATAGTCTGCCCGGCTTGTGTGCATTTAAAACGTCGTTCCGTTCGTTTTTGGTCGGTGCGATGAGGATGCACACACACATCGCGTGCGCGGGGCTGGATGCGGATCACGTTCATTGGAGTTCATTGCAATCGAATATTTTATCTCTCGAATTAACATCTTGGAAACAATGGAGCCCGTCTCGAGATGGACAATGGATCAGGTGTTGCTGTGGATTCAAGGTGAGATTAAATCATTTGCGTTCACTCATTCGTTTATTCATTCACTCACTCCCCCCTCCAATCCATCACCTCCAATCATATTTACGCAACCCCATTCACGAAGTCGCCCGCTCATTTATACATTAGCACATCAATTAAGTTATTTGCCGTTATTGATTGCGACGTTGAAACGTTGATTTGCTCGTGAATTTATGCATGCCTCGGTTCACAAATGTTTTTTTTCTTTCAATTAAAAACTACAGTAAACAATACATTCACGAATCGATCAAAGTTATGAAGTCATTCACAAGTGCCCGTTCAGTTGATGCATCATTTTTTCATTCATTAATGTATTAGTACATTCACTCGCAGCAATTAATGGATTTCACGCACATGCACCATTCCCCCATGGTATCACATTCAACTTTTCATTCATCTACTCATCGATCATTGCCCCCAGGCCATCGTCTTTCACTGCATTCGCGGTCCATTTCATTCCTCCACTCACCCATTCGTCTATGGCCAGCCGCCACGATCGATACACTGCTAGATGAAGGCTTCCCCAAGTCATCCCACCATCCTCCTATCATCCCCTCCTTTGAGACACGCGTATTGCCATTGCTCTTACCATCCTCAAGATGCCATCCATGCAGGATTCTGGAGGCACGGGCTGTGGGAACAAGGTGACTGTGAGGACAGGGTGTGGTGGCATCAAATACAAAGGTCACCTCGTATCGCCGAAACAGACTGTTGTGACAAGTGCTGTTGGCGAGCACCAGTAAAGGCCGGCATGGAACACGAGGGAGTGGGTGACCGGCACCACGCCTGGCCGCCTTTGTCTCCCCAGTGCTGATGTGTTTATGCACAACGAATTGACCTCGGGGAGGGCCGTGACCGCTTAGAATATTCGTCACTGTCGTCGTTCGTGAGTGGGAATCGAAACTCGGGCTGCCGGGTTCGTAGCGCAGTGCGATAACCACTGCCGTCACCTGGGGTGGCACAGGAGGATTATGACAAACATGACACGTGGGCATAGATAGATTTGGTAACATTCGAATTAAAAAAATCGTTCGCGAATTGTCATGCCTGGAACAAACCCACACAGGCCATGGACACTCGCTCAAAAGACATCCGCACGGACAGATCGCAACCCAACTTGCTGTACTACCTTCTGTAGGGTCACCACCACCACCACTGTGTTGGCGGGGAGTATCGTGCGTCCGATGGTTCCATCGCTTGCGTGATGTGCCCACCCAGGCCCGCGTGCGATTTCGGTTCCACGGAACACTTCCCACGGCATTGCGGGCCTCCAGGGCTGGGGGAAGTGATTGTGGAACTGGTGACTCAATTCACAATAATCACTTGGCGTCGTTAACTCGGACTTGTATCTTACATGGAGCGGTCCTTGCCTTTAATATCCGGCAGTTCACCGGCATTCGTTCAAATCACGCACATTGGACTCTGCTGATGGGACACTGTGTGTCAAAACCGATCAAGAGTTTTCCTTCGACTGAGACAGTGCTGCTGAAATCTTGCACTCCCATAAGGGCGTAGAGACGATGGGTTGTGTAACGAATACTTTAAAATGTCCTCAAAAACAATACAAAAAATTCGACTTTTATATTTTACGTGCGGACACATATGAAGGAGACAATGTCTGTTCACCTATTTCATATTTTTTACGACATGGTGGACTCTCTTTGGTAAACACAAGTTTTAGAACAACAACAACAATAATAATCATACAAACTTCGCCACCGGCAGATAACTACACGATTTCACGACTCTCGTAATGAACGTTGTGAGTGGCGCAGGCTTGGAGTCGGGCCTGCAGCAGTACGCGCCGGCCTTCCTGGAGCACCGTGTGAACGGCGAGGCCCTCCTGGCCATGAGCGCCGAGCAGCTCGAGGTGATGGGCATCGGGCGCCTGGGCCACCAGGAGCTGCTGCTGCACGCGACCGGCTTGCTTCACTCCCTGGTGCGACGAGACGCACTCCATCTCCCCTCGGCTCTCTCCACTCCTCTCCACGGCTCTCACTCCGCTCTCCCTCCTCCCCTTAGCTCTCTCAACCTCTCCTCTCCATGGTTCTCAACCCTCTTCTATCCATAGTTCTCTCAACTCTCCTTTTCATGGCTCTTCACTCTCCTCACCACGGCTCTCTCCTCTCATCCCTATGGCTCTCTCCACTCTCTCTCCTCCGCTTATCTCTCTCCTTTCTTCTCCATGACTCTTTACATTCTCCTCCCCTTGATTCTCTCCTTCTCTCCTAACCATGGCTTCCTGCACTCACCTGCCCCCATGGCTCTCTGCTCTTTCTTGCCCAGACAATGCTCTCAGCCGCCTGTGCTGACACCCTATTCCTAAGCTTCATCCTGGTCTGTCTGGTGACCCAGAAAACATTTCTGTACGTGGCACACCACATCCAGTATACCTCTCTGGATGTTAGTGGAAGCCGGGGATCACATTTAGGCTCGCTGGGTTCATGGTGCAGTGCACGAGCCACTGCCGCATTGCCCTACTCCGAGATTAATCATCCTGGGAACCACTCGACGGGGATGATCCATTGCCTGTGAATTATTCGAGACATTAACATTTCGGGTAAACTACATTACAAACTTTCGAAAGCTCGCGGGCAGTTTTCAGTTTTTGGTCGTAAACGAGCGGAAGCGTGCAGTGACCCGCTGCTCAATTTGCACTTTCATTGCGATTATCAGCAAATATTAAAATAGCGCTCAGCACACGCTACGGGAGGTGACTTTCACGTGCGGGAAGCGGTGAAGTATGGCGTGTCGTGAACTACACCACCACCACCATCAGCATCCCAGCGAGCCGGATTACACTCCTCGCCATAATGCAGGGGCACAGCAGCTGAGGGTGCCCTCGGAGTGAACGTTTCCCGGTGGATCCTGCGTCGATTACTGACGGGATCAGCCAAGTTTGCCCCTCCCCCCCCACCTCCCGTGCCCACAGATAAAGAGGATAGTTCTACTGCTGCTAGAGTTATGCTAAATTGCTGGCTGCTGACTCAGTACTGAGCCTGCCTTTCATGCGCCACTGTGTATCGAACGGTTCCGTCACCGGGCAAAGTCGGCATCTATGTTGCCTCCTTGTCGAAGGGAGAATAACGAAAAAAACGGAGACTCGGCAAAAGAAAAATCTATAATCTTCTGAGCTTTTTGTGTTAATATCGTAGCCACATCTTTGCGCGCGGTTTTAGTTAGTGCACAGCCTAAGTTCATAGTGCAATGTGACACTGACTTGTTCGGCTGTGCCTCGCTGTGTGCCTAGCAGCCATCAGAACTGGCAAGGCAAAGGTCGCCTGGTGGGTCAGAGGTCAGAGCGCTGAGCTTTGCACCGTTGTGAGATCCTGGCTTTTGAGTCGCGGGGTTGAGTAGCGTCGTGTGGGTTAATTGGCCTTAGCCTGGTCAAAGTCGGAGTCTCTTTTTCACAGAGCAAAGTACTGGGCAGACTCCAGCTTGTTCAGAATGCAGCTGCTAGAGTGCTTACACGTACACCATTCCATGAGCACATTACAGCAGTCCTCTTATCCCTTCATTGGCTACCAATCGAATTCCGAGTGGATTTTAAGATACTGCTATTAACCTTTCAGGCTTTAAAAGGGCTCACCCCACATTACTTGCAGGAACTAATGCATTTGTATATTCCATCAAGGTCCTTAAGATCTGCTGATCTCCAACGGCTCAACACTCCCAGGGTCTAGGCTGCGCTCTTTTGGCGATCGGTGCTTTTGTCCGTGTGGCACCCAAGCTATGGAACTCCTCGCCACTTGGAATCGGGAAATCGAAGTCGGTAGATAGATTCAAGTCTGCTTTGAAAACCCTGTCTCTTTAAAGTGACCTTCCCTCTCTAGTTTGGTCGGTTGCCCTGGTTCTGTTTTTGTTTCCTGCTTTTTATGCATTGCGCATTGGGATCCTAGGATGGAATTCCGCATTATACATTTGAATAATAATTATTTTTACGGCGAGTAGGGGTAGGTCGTAAAGTTACAACAAATAACAATGCAAAAACACGATAGGAGTGCAAAGTATAGGGAAATGTAAGCTAATCACACCACTCCTTCATTTGTTACGGTGGTATTAACGCGGTGCTTGCTAACAGCACTTGCCCGTCAGTCCATTCGGTTGAGTGGGGTGATATTTGCGCACGCGTTTTTAAGTCCTGGATGTGTACTCGCCCGTGTATCGACGCTTACAAGCGTCATTATGATAACGGGGTTGAAGTTCTCAGGTGTGCCGAGTTGACGGTCTCGGCTTGGTGACTAATGACCGCACAGAGGAGACGGCGTATCGCGCTGAGATTATGAACAAAATCGCCTCGTCATACGAAGCCGACGGCACGGATGGCATAGGCCGTCCTCAGCCGTGATCGATCGACTGCTGGATGAGGGTTTTGACCAAGCGCTGTCGCCATCTCTCTCGCGATCCCTGCGGCGATCCCCGCCAGCTGCTGCTGCGCCGAGCCGATGCCATCGCTCCGTGTTGCGCGTAGGTGGCTTCATTATTTCAAGAATGTTGATGTCGTGGCGAGGCAGGTGTTGCGTTCAGGTGGGAAGTGAGATGTGCTTTAGCGCGTTGACATTTTAAGTAGGTTTCGTGAGCTGCGGTGACGACGCCGGCGGTGGCGGTGGTGACGTCGTGTGGTTGGTGTGATGCGTAGGTGTGAAGCACGGCAATGCCTCCACGAACACATTTTCACTTGAAAAATATAATTTGCAGCGTAAAAATACTCTCGCGTGCGTGTGTCTATCACGCGTCTTACAATAACGGCGTACTGCTCTCTGCGATTGCCCGTGGGGGTTGTGCCAAGTGTCGTTCGGAATGACGTCCGACGTTTCGCTCCACGTGCTGGGAGCTTCATGAGGAACTGGAGTTGAAGATGACCCCCCCTCCCCCCCCGGCGCTTCTGCTAAAGCGCTCCGTACCACGACGGGTACGGAGCGCTTTCGCGTGATGCGAATAAAAAATATACAAATATAGAATTTACGCATCTCCGATTAGCACGGTTGGCTACGTACGATGCGAAAGAAGTTCAACGTACATTCATACCCGCGTACGTATGAGAGCAATGACAGTTGAGTTAATTGCGTGAATTTCGGATGCAGGTCTTTCGTGACCAATGTTACGATTCGTCATAGATTTTTTTATTGTGTCGTTAGCGAAAGTAAAATGTGGTGAAGAGGAATACACCGTTCTCCCAACACCACCGCCTGTGCTGGCGAAGCAGCAGGTTTGTTCATCACATGACAATTTTATTCATTGGCCGTCTTAGGTGGAGGTGAGCGTGGCTATGTGTTTGTGCGTATGTTGAAATTCTTTCGCACCGTACGTAGCCAACCGTGCTCATTGGAGGTGCGCGGGAAGGACAACACATCTTACTCGTGAATCGTGAAGTTAATTTCAGACCTGCGCCGTTCTCGCCCACGCGAGGTTTTAGTGAAGGCGCCGTGTTTCACAGATGGGGTGCAGTCGGCCGTCGGGGGCGAGTTTGCCGTTTATTTGCTCGGAACCCAGCTGAGCGATTGGCGGATATATTTCTAGGCAGTTCTTTTTTTATGTTTTTTTTTAAGTTAAACTTGGATGCGCGGCCTACTTTTTCGAACGACGTCACGGGAATCGTCGACGTCCACTAGAAAAGGGACGCGGCGCCCGACTTTACAGTTCATGCTACCCTGCGGCATTAACCAGGGTGGCCGTGGGCTTCGAACCGTGAACTCCCTGCTGACAACCTGTGAATGGGCCGCTGCTGCTTGGCCGAAACAAACAAAAACAAACTATTTTTATTTTTACCAGGTAAGGCCGACTGACCTATGTAGAAGCGACTTGATAGCTCAACAAAGTGGCTCATCATCATCGTTGGAATTTATATACTCTAAACGCATGATGTCAATTCTAAATGTGAAGGGGAAAAATCGTAGGACCCGGAGAAAAATCCACATTGCCCCGGGGAGAACATGCGAACTCCTATTATATTAGCATCAGGGTCTGGATCGAACCCACGACCTCCTGTACACCAGGCGAGGTAGTTAACATCTCGCCACCGTGGCGCCCAATGTCCGAGATGTGGCGTCACATGTGAGACCGTGATGCTCGTTTTTCTTGAGAGAAAACACGCACGGCAGGCATCGCCAGGGTCGCCATCGTACCCCACGAGGCGAGGCCGGTAACACCTCGCGGACGCTTTGCTGTTTGTCGCGACGCAGCACTACGGCCTGGAGACGGACAGCGTGGCGGCGTTCGCTCACAAGCTTATCGCCGCCGCACGCGGCCTGCAGGCCGTCGTGGGTCGCCGTCAGCGCAGAGACGACGCGGGGCCCGCCTCGTCGGAGCTGCTCGCCGCCGTGCTGCAGCTCATCGCCGTGGCCAAGGCTCTCCTCTCGTGGCTTGACAGGCGAGTGGCGGCGGTGTCATGCGCGGTGGGGGTGGGGGCGGGCGGTTGGGGTGCGCGGTGCGCATGGCGGCAGGAGCCTTGGACAGCTCTGTCATGCTTTCCGGGCCGGTCGGCGCTACCAAAGGATTCGCGAAAGCCTCTGAAGATACCTCACGACGTCACCACTTCACCCCCGCATGCTGCAACTCCCTGCACGCTCCACTCCCCTGCACGCCGCAACCCATTGCGCATTGCATCCCTCCTGCAGAAGCCGAGAGGTCCAGCGGAAGCAGTGACCTCTCGATGACCCCGTAACCTCGCCCAGTGATGGAGCTATAGGCCCAGCTGTGGGCCCCTGGATGATCCGCCCTCCCCTGCCCGGTCTTTTTTTTTTTTTTTCGGGAACTCACGCAGACAAGGAGGGGGGGCGGGGGGGTAAGGGCATAGCCCTGCAATTTCTTGGCTCGCGCCAATGCTATTAGAAGCGCCTACTCTTCCACGCAGGCTCAGGTGTCCTTTGAAGAGGTGGGAATGCCCACACTTTAACCCACCATTGCACTGCTCTGGACGGGCGGGAGGGATTGCAGAATCGTGCGGCGTCGGGAGATGGAGTCGAACCAGTGACCTCTGGATCACGACTCCGGTGTGTGTGTGGCACTGAACCATTATTGCGTGGCCGTGGCAGCATCAAGCGGTGGGTAAGGCAGCTTAAATCCTCGACATCTGGGCTCGCACGGAACAACCGCCGTGAAATTTAATTTCCGTTGCCCCGTCGCCGGCGGTGCGGTGTGCCCGTGGGCATTGCGGGCGGCTCGTGGAGTCGCCTCGACAACAACGACAATAACGACAACAACGACAACAACAACGACCGCCACCACCACTGCAGCAGTCACGTGAGCAGTTTCCGTTAAGTCCGTGGGCAGCAGCACCACCACGTGATCAGTGACCGCCGACCAGACGTCTGTGAGCAAGAGCTTCGCAGCTCATTGGATTCCTCCAGCCTAAATAAACATTCCGATTAATTTTGGTGCGAATAAATAATGTTCTATCCAGTATAATATTTTAGTTTTAAGTTTGGCTGGCTGGCTGGCTGGAGGGACGGACAGACGGTCACGTCCAAAGGATACGCGCTGCTAGTTGAATGGATATGATAAAATAAATAAATAAAAGCTCTGCTCGTTTAATGACAGTGCAGATTAATTAACCCCACACCCTAACCCTCCCATGGGGCGGTGGAGGTGAGTAATCTTGGCGAGTTTGGTGCAGGATTTGCAAACGGAGGCCAGTTTTTTAAAATGCAATTACAGTCAACTCGATGGGGGTTGTTGGCCAAACATCCCAATGCTGTAAAATTACACTCCAAGTAACTGAGTGAGGCTTTCCTGGGTAATCAAGCATACAAATATATATAAATGTCCTTTTACTATATAAATACGCATGGTTAGATAATGTGTTTCGCGTGCTTAGCGTTATTACCCATCATTAAGAACTTGAGATTCCTGAATATATTTTTTTTACAAAGGGTGAGCACTTTGACGTGAAGTGCACGTAGTTTCCCTCGTTCTGCACGGTAGTAGGAGTAGATGATGCCTTCCAAAGAACAATGGCGCACAAAGCGAACCCGCTCGGCATCATGGAGCGCATAGTCACCCAACCCACAATGCACAGCACAAGGTGACGGCTTCCTGCCGAGTAACGCACACAGTACACACACAAAGTTGTATCTCTGTCTTCATGGCTGGATGTATCTGTGCGCATGTGTCTTTGTGTAGTGGGGAGCGATAGTGTAGTGGTTAGCGCGCTGCACTAGGAACCCGGCGACCCGAGTTCGATTCCCGCTCATGGTCAACACCAGTGATGACTATCTGAACCGGTCCTGGGCCTCCCCTAGTCCACACATTACAGTATGCGCACAATGTTGTTAAAACGGCACGGTAGAGCGAATTTTTGATAGAAATCGGTTCGCCGCATATAATCGGAGCGAAATCGCGCAAACCAAACCTGTGCAGAGCGAGGGGAAACCTGCCCTCCGTCAGCGTTGATATCGTTCTTATACCCTTGTGCAACTCCATCCTTCACATTGTCACAACCCCGAGCCCTACGATTGCAGTTCCTTGTGCGCGGGCACGTTTATTTCGCCGAGCGATCCGGCAGCACATTTTTTTCTTCTTTTAACGCAAAGACTGCCACGCTCCGGGAGTGGATGGCCCTTCTTCCGAACACAACGACGACTGAGTCTCATCTCGAAGAGTCAAAGCTTTTTTTGCCGATTTCCATTATCACTTGGCGCGTCGCAATTAATCCTTACATTTTTTTATTAATTATATCCGAATTTTTTAAATGGCCCCTGTCTGGTTTGTATCGCGACTGAGAGAGGTATTAAGCGATTCACGCGTGATACCCGTCTGAGTGATCGTGAAGGGATGGCGGCGTGGGTTGGTTATTATAGCGTTGCGAAAAAAAATGCGCTTTCAATCTTCGAAAAGCGCATCGCGGCTTTGTTTTGCGTGATCGCTCTGAGCCGGAACCGTGCCGTTCGATGTAATCGGTCCCGGTGCATTGTGGGATGCGGCGGTGGCACAGCCATTGCACTACGAACCCGACGACCTGAGTTTGGATTCCTTGCCACGGCTAACATCAGTGGTGTATGTGCGTATGTTGAACCTTGCGACCCGCCCGTGTCTCCGCAGGTTTTCTGAGGCCGAGGAGTTCGCGGCAGCGCACAACGCCGTCGTGCAGCTTTGCCTGCAGCTCTCCAAGGTCACACGCCAGGTCAGCGCTTCCAAAACGCCCGGCGGCCAGCAACAAACGGCACCATTGAAGGTGGAGTAGAGAAGAGTGCATGCGGTGACGCGTTTCTTGAATCGAGCAAGGTTGTTTATCACGTGAGCTTTGGGGTGGAGGGTGGGGGCTGGGCAAAGAGACGATGGTGGAATTTCATAGTGGAGTGGTGAGAGGGTAGAAGCAGAAAGATAAGTGGTGTCACCTGCAGTGTGATGAGTGGATGGGTGAACGAGTGAGTGTGTTGTTTATGACCTGCAGTGTGGTGAGTGGGTGGGTGAGCGAGTGAGTGTTTTGTTTGTGACCTGCAGTGTGGTGATTGGGTGAGCGAGTGAGTGTGTTGTTGTTAACTGCAGTGTGGTGAGTGAGCAAGCAAGCGAGCGAGTGGGTGAGTGTGTTGTTGTGACCTGCAGCCTGGTGAGGTGAGTGGGTGAGTGAGTGGGTGAGTTTCCCTTGCAGTTAAGCATGATGGCTTTGTTGGCCATTGAAAAAAAATAGAACAACGCACGTGTGTGGGTTGCGTTCCAGTTTAATATTCAGCGTTCTCGCTGCGCCACTGTTCCAAAGGTCCACGGCGAGTCTGCCTCCACATTCCCAGCCCGTCCTTTCGTTCTCGCGCCGTGGCGTTCGGGGTGAATTATCAATAAATCCTCCCTCCTCGCGGGAGCCGTTAAGTCGGCCACCCCCCCCCCCACCCACTCCATTTATATCTCGAGCGGACATAAAATATTCCATGACAGCGTGTTTTTGTGCGAGAGCGGGCGGTTGCACACCGCTGTCGAAGGATATATTTCCTCATAAATATTTTCTGCAGTGCGGTAGGAAGTGAAAGTAAAACGTAGGGGATGAGTTTTGGATGAAAGAAAAAAAATGGTAAGATTTCTTTTTTTTTAAAGGATCGCCACAAAAAGCGGAGCATCACAGTCTCACGTGTGACGCCACATCTTGTACATGGGGCGCCACGGTGGCGAGATGTTAACTACCTCGCCCAGTGTACAGGCGGTCGTGGGTTCGATCCTGATCATGACGCCTGCTGTATATTTGGTGTTTGCATGTCTCTCTCTCTCGTGGATTTTTCACAGGCTCTTCCGGTTTTTCCTCCACACTGAGAATCGGTATTTGGCTGCCACTATAAATTTCCACGCGATAAGCCACTTTGTTGAGCGATCCTTTGTAGCCAGGTCACTTGTGAAAAAGAACTATATTAGCTCAGTGGCCCTTACGTGGTAGAATAAAAATAGTGTATAGCCTTTTGTAGTTTACATTTCTCGGTCAATTGATTTCATCACACGATCGTCAAGAGCCCTGAATAGAAATAAACAGCGGGTGAAATGCACCAGCATAAACAAACGTCCCCCCCCCCACGACCCTCCCCGGTGCATTACGAATTCCAACCGCCGCTTCAGTTGAAAAGTTGCGTTTCAAATTCCCAGCGCTAATTACGGAAGCGCGGTTTGATAGGGGCGGCGGGGAGCAAGTCGCTTTGTTTTATAACGAGATTCAAAACGATGACCGCCCCCCCCCTTGCGCCCCGTCGCAGAGGCCCAGTGCATTACTCCGAACCGTCCATTGGGCTCGCGATCAAAATTCAAAGCGGGAGTTTTTAACGAGCATCCGCCGAGGTAGCTGCCGTTTCTTGTGTTTTGTTTTGTGCGTGGGTGCGTGCGTGCATATGAGCAGGAGCGTCTGCGCGGCCGTGTGTTTCAACGACATATTTTCATTCGCCGCGTTATGCTGGGTTGAAGCTTCCTGGGAGCGGCGGCGCAGCTGTTAGCGTCGCTGTGCTACAAACCCGGCGATCCAAGTTGGTTTACCGCTCATGGCCAACACCTGACAATTATCTTGAACCCATCCTAGGCCTTCCTTAGGCCGACTCGGCCTCAAATTAATACCTGGTGTGGTTTGTAAATATCGCCACTATGGAGACAAAGGCGGCCGGGCGTGGTGCTGGCCACCCACCCACCCCCTCGTGCGCCGTGCTGGCCTGCGGGAGGGATCTTTGTGTGTGAGCGTATAATTTTTGAGATGCTGCCAGTATTATTATTTATTTGCACATGTAGTTTTTTGGCCAGATGGTGTCACGATGAATTAACGCAGAGACCTGCCTGGGCAGCCACCGACGCTCATCAATGATAATGAATGCACGGCCTGCACTTATCTCCGAGTGCCTCTTGACACACACGGGGAAAGCGTGATTCACTCGCCCGCACTGGCTATAGCGGGCGCGGATAATTAAGGTCACTGAATGAGCGGCGACACATCCGCTGATTGAAAGTAAAACGGGACCCGTTAGTGAAATTAAGATTTTAAAACGCTGGAGGTTGTGTCATTTATTTATTTATTGGTACAGCATGTCTTTCTAAAAATTACATCCGGGGTGCACGGTCAAAGTCAAAAGTTATTTCCCGCCGACTTGAGCACCGAGCCATTGGTGCTCGACTCCCATTAACAGCCCCGCTGATCCGGTTGATGGATATTCCACATTACTATGGTGGGGACAGGCCTATCCAAGCAACAATCACCGCTGACTTCCCCGCAAAGTGGTACTCATTTTATTGGCACCACTGATGCGCGATGTATTTATGTTGTTGAACTTCTTTCGCACCGTACGTAGTCAACCGTGCTAATCGGAGGTGCGGGGGAAAGACAACAAACTAAACCCAAAAAGCTATGTCGCTAGGTCGGGCGGCGGCAGGCTACTATTGAACGCAGCGCTTGAGTTAAATCTGCGAGCACGCGACCTCTGAGCCGGTTCTGTCAAAGTGAAACGCGTGGTCGCGTCGAGCCGGGAGAAAAGCTCCTTCCACTCCGTAGCCTCCCCTTCCCCGATAAGTTGACGTCGTTTCAGAAACCAACGTTGCCTGCCTCTCGTTTTGTGTGCAGAACTGCACGATTGAAGAAATCGAAGAGAAGATTTTACACGTGGTGAGTGCCTTGTTCTGGACCGAACAGTTGCTCGCAGCGTCACACTGCCGTGCGTTGAACGAGATTTTTTTTTTCTTTCTTTTTTTCTACGATTTCTTGAAGAATCCTGTCCAACAAAAGCCACAAATGAACCACAATTCCTTGCTGATCTCGTCAAGGAACAAAAACGATCAAACTCCGGTCATCCTCGCAGCAGCTTTTGGCTAACCATCCACTGGAGCTCTCTGTACTTTTAAATCTGGATTGAAAACTAATTTCTTAAGAACTGCTTTTTTTTGTTTACTTTGTTCTTTCCTCGCACCTCCGATTAGCACGTTTTGCTACGTGAAAGAAATGTAACATACTGCACAGGTACGATAACTGCTGTCGTGCCGACGAAGAAATACAATCTGAGTTTGGTGTACAGTGGAACAGATGGCAAACCCGAAGGCTCAATGCAACGGTGGTGCCCTGCTGGCGAGATGTTAACTACCTCGCCAGGTATACAGGAGCGCGTGGGTTCGATCCCAACCCTGACGCCTGCTGCTGTATATTTGGAGTTTTGCGTGTCTCTCTCCCTGTGGTCACGTGGATTTTTATAGTCTTTGGTTCTTTCGGTAAAGTTACGTAGATGAAAAATATTATTTTTATTATTATTTTTTATTTTTCATCTACGTGACTTTACCGAAAGAACCAAAGAGTATGGATCCTTGCCTTCACGAAAACTTCAAATCTAGAACGTGGATTTCTCTCTGGGTTCTCCGGCTTTCCCCTCCACATTTAGAATCAACGTCGCACGTTTAGAGTATTTGGCAGCGATAGGATGTCCACGCGATGATGATAAGCCACTTTGTTAAGCCATCGTTCGCAATGGCCGGGGTCGCTTCTGAAAAAGAGCTACGTAGCTCAGTGTGGGGCCTCGCCTGGCTAAATAAAAACCAAAAATAGTTTTGACTCAAAACTTTCGTGACTGCAGGAATCCATACCCTTGGTTCTTTTGGTAACGTCACGTAGATAGAAAATAAAAATATTATTTTCAATCTATTATTTTTATTTTAAAATTTATTTTATTATTATGATTATTTTCTATCTACGTGACTTTACCGAAAGAACCGAGAATACAAAAAACAATTGTATAGTTAAAAAATAATTTACAGTCAACGTTCTGGCAGGGCCCTGCCTGTGCTCTGTGCCCATGGCTGAAGGCTGCAGCGGCGCCGGTTAGGATGATCTATCGGCTCGCCGTCGCTCGTCTCATCGTCGGTAAAGAGCACAGCGGGTAGAGGAGTCGCACGGGCCACAACATTGTTGGTCACGGCCGAGTGAAATGATTGCCTGCGGGCTACGCACTGAGCCTTTATTTATCTCAGCCGGGCTGCATCAATACCGGCCATCCCACGCTGCAGCGTCGCCCCGTGCAGCTGCTTTATGCACCGGGTATTGACTAAACAGATTGGCTTTTGAGTAATAGGAGGTTTTTCAGCTGACACAGGCCATTGCGCACGTGTGTGTCTGTGTGTGTTTGTGTGTGCGTTACGGGGAGTGGTGGTGCAGCGGTTAGTGCCGCCGCGCTATGAACCGGACGACCCGGGTTCGATTCCCGCTCACGGCCGCCGCCAAGACCCAGTGACGATTATCTGAACCGGTCCTGGGCCTCTCTCCTAGGTCGGCTCAGCCTCAAATGAATACCTGGTGCGTCACTCGGGAGACAAAGGTGGCCGGGCGTGGAGCTAGCCACCCACCCCCTCGTGTGCCACGCTGGTTTTCATAGGTGCTCGCTAACAGCACTTGCCCTAACAGTTTGTTAAAGCTACACAGCGGTGGCCGGAAGGCGGGGTGGGGGGGTATTTTTTGGTGGGCATAGACATCCATCTTGATACCTCTCGGCGTATCTGAGAGGTATTGGGCACGGCGGTGGCTAGGAGATGTTAACTCCCTCGCCTTGGATGCAGGAGGTCGTGGGTTTCCATCCAGACCCTGACGCCTGCTGCTGTATATTTGGAGCTTGCGTGTCTCTCTCCCTGTGGTCGTGTGGATTTTTCTCCAGGTCTTCCGCTATGATAAGCCACCTCAGTGGGCCTTGCCTTGTAAAATAAGAATTGTTTAGATTATATTATCATTCGCATTGCAACACGCAGCCTGCTACATTGGAAACGGCGCGTATGTATGTATCGCGCAAAATTGAACGGAGTGGTTGTGGCAGTTGTGCACAAAAGAATGCAGCAGACTTGCTGAGGGGTATATTTTATTACTCTCTGCTGTGCATCAATCCATTGTGCCTTCACGCCGATTCATGAGCACTCGAACTCAACGAGCCATTGAGCCGCAGCGGATGGGCCCTCGTCTCCTTGAGAGGCCGACGACAACGGCCGTGGACGCAGCGGCGGCGGCGGCCCCACTTCGAGACCCGGCGTCTCGATGCCGAAGCGGATTCGCCGGCACTGCGGATCAGAGGTCGCAACCGAGTACCCGATACCCGTACCCTACCCGATACCCGGCTACCCGTACCCGGCCGGGTACGGGTACGGGTACCCGTTTGCGACCCTGGTGCGGCCGGGTACGGGTACGGGTAGGCCGTGAGTCACTGGTGAGTAACTGTTTGTCACTCATTTCCCAACGTCTTGTCTCTTCTCACAATTCAAGTTCCTAGAATCAAGCGACCCACGCCTGCAACATGGCTTCATCCCAGAGGTCGCAGTCAGGTACCCGATACCCGTACCCGGCCGGGTACGGGTACCCGTTTGCGACCCTGGTGCGGCCGGGTACGGGTAAGGAATCAAAACCCGTTTGCGACCTCTGCTGCGGATTCCGCTCCCGCGTGGGACCGCATGCCCTCGTCGGTGCCCAATGATCTGCGGGTCCAGAATTGGACTCCTCGGCAGCCTGAAGAGCCACCGCTGAAACCCGATGGACGCGTCGTCCTCGAGTCCCGAAGGACCGTCGACGTGCGGCGAGCGACACTGTGGCGGGTTTGGGGGATGGGGAGCGGCTTTGGTTCCATTCGGTGATGACTCACCGCACACCTGCCACCAGATTAAAAACGAAGGGGTTCAGGGGACTTGCGTTGGCAAGTGTTGCGCACGGAGGAGTACAAAACGCTGCGGCGGAATCTTTGTCATCGCCGGCGCTCGGCACAAGAGGAGTTCCGCGGTCGGTTGGATCTTTCTATTGTCGGCACGCGCGCGAGGCCGTTGGGACTTTCCTTTCCAAGGGAGAAGCTGGGATGGTGTAACGCGAAAATATTGACGAAACAACATACGTTAAAGACATCTTAACGGCAGAACGCAAGCACAGGGCAAAGCAGCGTGGACGCGGTGTTAAAGCAACGTCTTTAATTTAGTGATCTGAATAAAGGAATCTGATAGGAGTAAATAAAAAAAGTAAATAACAAAAATATGACATCACGATGATTAAATGATAAGAAATGTGTTTAGCCTTTCTAGCAATAATATAGGAGACGTTCAGATGTTCAAACGCCAAACAGACACCTATTGCAAGGCATCAAGTCTGCGTTAACCACACATACTAGTGGCAAAACATGCAAAAATCCTACCTGATGACGGAGGCTTGTGTTGCTTCCGAAACGTCGTGATTTAATTTAGTTGTTTTCATTTTATTTTGTTTTTATTATTTTTATTATTATTTTTATTTTCACCTACGTGACTTTACCGAAAGAACCAAAGAGTATGGATCCTTGCAGTCACGAAAACTTCAAATCTAGAATGCTCCGATAATTGATGCGTTGTTTTTTTACAATGATTGGCCTACCACCAAAGACAGTGGCCTTCCCTATGGCCTAGTCTCACCACCAGTGTTAGATGCGAAAAGGCGACAACCCGTACAAAGGCAATACAAACATAAAAACGTTCCTAGCTCCGGTTGAGCAGATATATCTACGGGAGCAGGAAGGGTAAAGCCTATTCTTATTATTTCATCAATTTGAAACTGACAAAAAAAAAGTTCCTGTAAACAGATATCACATTTGAGATATGGGTTGGTGTAGTACGGGAGGTGCAGTGGTTAGTGCATCGCACTATGCACCCAGTGGCCGTACTTTTACTTTAAGCCACAGCTAATATCATTTCCCTCACCTCCGATGAGCACGGTTGGCTACGTGGGGTACGAAAGAAGTTCAAGATACAGTACAAACTGTACATCATTGCTAACTGAGCGATGTTTCATTTGCCCAGACATCCCATGTATTATTGTTGTTTGTTCAGCTGGTGTAGTAAACAAATAGGAATCACTTTGCCGCTTGAACTTGCAGCACAGACAGACGCCGATGCCTTCTCTTAAGTGCCTTTTACGTCAAAATGTATTAGACGGCTGTGCAAAGAATTCGCATGTAAGTGCACAGCTCCCAAATTTCTGGGAGGTTCAACCCGGGAACACAGCCCCTCCCACTTTTAGATAACCACGTCCACGCAACCACTAGCCCCCACAGTGAGTGGCTCTTTTCTGACGGATGCCCCACCCACTGCTCAGGTAGCCACACCCACTGCTCAGGTAGCCCCACCCACTGATCAGGTAGCCCCACCCACTGCTCATGTAGCTCCACCCACTGCTCAGGTAGCTCCACCCACTGCTCGGGTAGCCCCACCCACTGCTCAGGTAGCCCCACCCACTGCTCGGGTAGCCCCACCCACTGCTCAGGTAGCCCCACCCACTGCTCGGGTAGCCCCACCCACTGCTCAGGTAGCTCCACCCACAGCTGAGGTAGCCCCACCCACTGCTCGGGTAGCCCCGCCCACAGCTCAGATGGCCCTTCAGAGTGCGAAATTATTAGCACTCTCAGCCCTTTGGCAATCCACTGCTGGACGAAGGCCTCCCCGTGCCGTGCAAGTCATGGGTATTGTTTGATCATACTTCACTGCGATGGTCACTGCAGGGTTATTGAATGATCGGGGGGGGGGGGGATGGGCTAGCCTAGAATCGGTTCAGATATCATCCGCCACTGTTGGTCGTGGCCAGGAATCGATCTCGGCTCGCCAGGTGCGTAGCGCCGTGCTGCCCGCACCGCCCTCACCAATGCAATGTGGAATTTCCATCACTGACCACCAAACCTTGTTTGAGCTGCAAACCACTTTGACCTTTCATTTCCCGCCGGCTCTGCTTCAAAGGGTGACCCATTGTCGCACCGAGCACTCTGAAATAAAGGTGACCGATTCATCGAAAAACTTTAAATGGCCATTACGAAATCGCGAACACAGTATATCTCTCTATATATCGGCTATGCGAACACGTGGAACAAAAGATGCAAAGCGTCCAAAGCAGCAAAAAAAAGTAACACACACTCGGGAAAAAAAGTCGTCGAGGAACGGAGAGAGAAACCTGAATTGGAGAAAATGCTCTTTTTCAGAAGCGACCTGGCCACAAATTATAGCCCATCAAAGTGTGGCTTATCATCATGTGGACATTGATAGCAGCAGCCAATTACGCAAAACGCGTGCTCGTTATAAATGTGGAGGGGAAAACCCGGAGGACCTGGAAGAAAAACCCACGCGACCACGGGGAGAGAGAGACACGCAAACTCCAAATATACAGCAGCAGGCGTCAGGGTCGGGATCGAACCCGCGACCTCCTGTATACCAGGCGAGGTAGTTAACATCTAGCCACCGTGATGATGATGATGAGAAAGAGAGACACGCAAACTCCAAATATACAGCAGCAGGCCTCAGAGTCTGGATCGAACCCACGACCTCCTGTATACCAGGCGAGGTAGTTAACATCTCCTAGCTACCGTGATGATGATGAGAGAGAGACGCAAACTCCAAATATACAGCAGCAGGCATCAGGGTCGGGATCGAACCCACGACCTCCTGCATACCAGGCGAGGGAGATAACATCGTCGAGTTAGAGGCATCACGTGGACTCAATTAAAGTCGGTGGACTTGGGGTCCAGGCTAATGATCGTCGCAACCAACAGCGAAGAGGGTGATCACCGTGGAGACGGAGCAATGAAATCAGCTTGTGCGCAGATTCAAGATTGGATTGGGGGAGGACTTCATCCGCCAGTGGATTGATCATGCCTGCAGACAATCACGATGATGATCGCGATGGTGTCACCTTGTGTGGTTAAAAAGCCATGAAATTGGAAGCGGTTGCCTATGTGCGTGTTAACCGCCTTCCATTCAAGGCCATTTTCACACGCCGCCAGTTTGACACACAGCTGTATTAGTTCCTCGCCCGACGACGAGAGAGAGAGAGAGCAACAACAGTGTGGGCGGCCAATGGTGGTGGCGTGCAGCGGTGCCTCACGGCAAGGTGCACCTCGGTTTGATTCCTCACCCCCAGTGCGCAGTGTCTCGAATATTTTCGCCTTCCCCCCCCCCCTCTTGCGCTGCACGGGAATCCTAGGGGTTCTGTGGTTACCTCCCATTGCTAAAAACCGTGCGCAGTGTCATTGACCATGTCGGTGACTATTGAGAGAACTCATCAGGGCGGAAAACCGCAAGTTTCAAACGGCCACGCAACAAGAAAAAACGGAGACACAAAAGCACTCGGCCATTTGCGCGTTATGCAAAAAAAACATTAGAAAGTTCCCGACGAACTGCATTGTGGTCCGCCTGCGAGTCGCATTTGCTGGACGTTATTTTGACGGTGACCTTAGAGAAAGCAGTTCTTCAGGAACCGCTGATGGTGGTGGGGGGGTTTTGTTGTTGTGAAACGTTCTCAACGGCGCTGGTGATCTTTGCGTGCACGTGTTTACCTGTCGCTTGAAACACAACATCGATGATGTTGCTGTGGTTTTTTCTTTCTCCCCGTCTTTGAAGACCGCGGGATAGATCGACGATCGATGTTCGGTCGCCCCGTTGGTGCCATCCGTGGCGTTTTTCTCACTTGACAGGGTGGGTAACGCGCGAAGGCTGCTACCACCTTCCACACATGGAAAGGAAAAAAGGAAATACATTTTCCGGTCGCGTGTATGCGACTGTGATAATACAGAACAAGAGCGTACGACGTATGACAAACGCGATGCCCCCGATCCACAAAGCGCCACCATCCCTCGTCGTCGCTTGAAGTCACGGCCAAGGCCCTTTTCTTGGGGGTGACCCACGGGCTTCACCACGAACGACGCGAGTTCAACCCAACCCCGACGAAGCCCGGAGAACTGAGTGAAGTTCATCGAGAACTCGCGAACCAACACCTCGCTGTGAAAGTCCCGAACGCAGAAGAACCCCCGGGGCTTTGATCTCCCACGAAGATGCTCATGGTCCACCCCTAAACCGCGTCCACCGCACAAACCATAGCAGCAGCAGCAGATGCGGATAACCTGAAATCTATGTTTTATCCTGGAGTAGCAGTGCGACTGTGGTCATCCAGAACAGACCCGTAACCGTGCAGCGGACGCAATGCCCCATCCACAAATTCGAAGAAGACATTATCGCAGCGACGACATACGACTCCTGATACTGCAATCTGGGCTTGTACCCACCCGAATGAGGAATTTGTAGCCGTGACCTTCTGCATCTTCGCCAGCCCAGCCGTACGACGTGTTGGTCAGACATCCCAACGGAGGCGGGGTCCCTCTTGAAAAACAACAAAAATTCTGCGTGGCGTTCATGTTGGAGTGGTAATACTAATTATTGTAGCACCGGTTCCCGTAACTCGATCCATTCCGTGCTTTCCAAGTGAAAAACGGGCCCCTTGCCATTAAAGTAGAAGACAGTACGGAGAGGCAGGGGTGTGCACGCATTCCACGCGTGCTTGTGAGCCAGCTCTCCCCCACCTACCAACACCAGCACCACGCCGTGCCACTCCTGATCGGCAAATGATACGAGGTAGGGCTTTTCGTTTGTAACCGGGTGGTGGCGGCGGTTGAACACCACAACACACACGCAGGTCTGCGTGTGGTGTGTCTGTGTGTGTGTCATTAGTGAATTACGTGAAAGGACATTCTCGTTTGTTGTTGTTGTTGTTGCAGTTTTCCTTCCCCCGTGAAATGTATAAACTTGCCGGCGTACTGTTTTAGCAAATGCGTCTGGCTGGGGAACCGTGGGTTTGGTGGTGCTGGTGTGATGCGGTGAACGCGAGAGGGATTTTCACTCGCTCTCCCGCTATTGTTATTAAGACGAGACGGTGGGGGGGAGAAGGGTTGGATGGCGCGAGTGGGAAAAGGGAAGAGTGGACAAACTCGTTTGATGTGACCATGAATGGGTCGGGTGGGCTGGGTGCGGTGGTGTGCGCACTGTTCGCTGGCGCCGAGGGAACGCGGAGCGAATGACGAACCCCTAAGCCAAGTCGCGCCGTCTCTCTCACGAGATGAGAAGACGCTCACTCTGGCGCTTGAGCCGAACGCCTCCGTGCCGCGGCGGATGACGCTTGCTTAAGGGTAGGTTCATACTCGCGTACCGTAGAAGCAGGGCCGTTGCCCGAAACGTCGCGCTGCTAATGTCACGCACACGCTGTTACAAAGACAAGGATTCAACCCCCCCCCCCCCCACACGTCACCGCCGTGTAGCCTTAACAGGCTGTTGGGACAAGTGCTGTTAGCGAGCGCCTATGAAGGCCGGCACGGCACACGATGGGGTTGGGTGGCCAGCACCACGCCCGACCGCCTTTGTCTTCCGAGTGGCGATGCTGGCACACACCTGCACCAGGTACTGCACTCATTTGAGGCTGAGTCGATCTCGGGGAGGCGCAAGACCGGTTCAGGTAAATCGTCACCGGTGTTGGTGGCCGTGAGCGGGGAATCCAACTCGGATCGTCCGGGTTCGTAGCGCAGCGGCGCGCTAACCACTGCACCACCGCTCCCCCACTACACTTGCGTCACACACACGCGCGCGCACTATTATTGACGATTGTTTCGTGAGTTGTGTTGGCGACCGTGAGGGTGTTTGTCGGTTAAACACCGTGTCAAGTGACGAGGTGACAGGTTGAGGTTCGTGGTTTTTTTAAAGTGTTGCCACCACGCATAACCAGGTGTTATAGGCTGCTGTGGGGCTACGCTGCGAGCAACTTGAGAGTCCATTGTTGTGCTGTACTTCGATGCTCCCACGTCTACGCTGCCCGTCTTCGGGGCGCGAAGTAATCTTAACCGGCCCCGCACAACCCGCACAGAGTGGCCGCTGTAAGCTTCCACATGATAAGCCACTTCATTTGGGCATGTCACTTGTGCCCAGGTCACTTTGAAAAAAACAAAAACAGCTATCCAGTGGCCCCCTTACCTTACCTGGTCAAGTAAGAAAATATCTAGAAAATAAATAGTCAACAGTTTAGTTTGACGTTTTGGGTTTCTCCGAACGACGACTCGCCCGGCTTACAAACACACACACACACGCACGTGTCCTCCGCGTGCATTGTGCGTCCTGTCCGCAGGGCTCCAGGCTGCAGCAGGTTTGCGAGAAGACGATCCTGCAGTCGACACACCGCGACCTGCAGAGGGGAGCCCGGCTCGTGGCCGCCAGGCTGGACGTGCGAAGCCCCGAGGAGGGCCTGGTAATTGCCACCGGGGACGACCGTTTCACGCTCGCACGCCGTCCGCCAATCGCCCAGAGTTCATCTCATTCCAACCCCCCTCCTCCGCCGCCACCCTTCCACCGCCGTTGGGGCACGGGGTAGGTTAAGCAGGATGGTGAGGTGGTCAAGCCGCGTAACCAGCGTCACGAGTAAGCGGAGTAGTGTATCGCCGTGATGTCTCCGACGTGTTTGTGGATCGGCGTGTTGCGTCGTTGTACAGGTCTCTTCCCGGATGACCGCGGTCGCATCACTGCTGGAGAGTTTTTTTTATTTTCCGCGTGCGCATCGGGTATCTGCATCCGCCGTGGTTTGTGCGGCGGATGCGGTTTTAGGGGTGGACCACGAACTCCTTTGTGGAAGATCAAACCCCAGCTTGCTTCTGCGTTGGGTCTTTCACAACAATGTCGGTGCTCGCTTGCGAGTTCTCTTCAACTCCGTTCGGCGCTCTCTCCAAGCTTCGGTTGGGTTGAACTCGCGACGTTGAGGGCCAAGCTCATGGTTCCAAAGAGGGTGGGGGGTGCTTGGCGTGACTTCGAACGACGACGAGGGACATCGTTCAGTGGGTGGACACGGGGGCCTTCCCGTGAGCCCGGGCACCACTCGCACGCCTCGGGCACCGCTCGTGCGCGTCACGGAGCCGGCGCTCGGCACCGGCGGGCAAAGGCACCAGCGGCTGTACAGGTGGCACGGTGTCCCGGCTGCTGCGCGGTGGCTCCCACTCCGCATCGTGAGCTTGGCGCTCCGGCAGCTCGGACTGGAGTGGATGCTTCTGCTGATGGAAATTATTGAGCGGCATTGGTCGGTGGGCAGGCCTAATGCTTACTTCGTTGTGGCGATGTTAAATGACCCTCCGTTTGTTTGTGTTTTTATTTCATCGTTCAATTTCCCAAAGTCCACTCAGGGCAACCTGTGAATGATCGCGTCCAAGTTTAGGTGCACTTTGCCAAATTGCCACAGGTTATTTCTTACCTGTGACCACCAGGTGACCGTGCAGCGTTTGTTTTAATGTTTGTTTTGTGCTGATGAGCACTAGAGATGACAGAACCCGTCCCAAGGTTTGCCCCTGCTTTAACAAATGCAGCTGAAAAACATAGGTGGTCGCTCACGCTCTTCTGCTGTTCCCATTGTCTGGAGCCCACTACCTCCCCCCCTCACAGCCGTCTGTGCTGTGGACTCCCTGCCCCTGTTCAAGCCCAGACTCGAAATCTTTATCTTATTCTCCGCCTTTGACCAAACTGCTTCTCTCTCTATAATATAAATATGCCCCACAATATATGTACATTCAATTCCAAATTGGTTTGTACCAGTCTACGTAGCCCAATGGCCACGTAGACTGGTGGGTCGGAATAACAATAGTCTTGTTTGTTTTTATTTTGATTGAGCTTGTATGTCACGCTTGTATATGTGCTTAGCCAACCGTGCTAATCGGAGGTACAGCAAGAAGTCGAGGAAGATGAAACTAAACTAAACTTTTTTTTTCTTTTACTAGGTGAGGCCCACTGAGCTATATATCTCTATTTAAGAAGCGACCTGGCCACAAATGATAGCTCAATGAAGTGGCTTATTACGTGGAAACGTATAGCAGCCAAATAGTCTAAACGCATGTCAATTCTAAATGTGTGTGGAGGGAAAAACCGGAGGACCCGGAGAAAAATCCACTTGACCACAGGGAGAGAGACATACAAACTCCAATGAGACAGGTCACTGGGTCGGAATCGAACCCACGACCTCCTCCATACCAGGCGAGGTAGTTAACATCACGTAGCCACTGTTGCATGAAACTGGGAGGATAATCTAATGGCGAGTTCTGAGTAAATGTCATGGACAGAGCTGAACGGTAGAAAGGCGATGATTTTCCAACGTCTTTCAGAAATGACACGGGGCACCCAAAGAGAGTGAATGAGAGATATACGATTTAGAATTCGTATGGCACATTTAAAAACTAGAACTGAAATACAGTAGTAGGCCAATGGAGGGGGGTTGTTTTTTGGGTTAGATCATAAAATCAGGCGACTATCAATGGCGTTTATGATATTGGGCATCGGTGGTGACACAATCAAGGGAAGGAATTGAATGTACAGCGCCCCCCCCCCCCCCCAATATTACAACAACCCCCAGGCCCTCATCAAACTTAATCCGGCCCTGATCGTGACAAGAGCGATAAAACAGATAATCTGACAAATGCGTGTGTCCTTCGTATATATATATATATCCGTCTCGCCGCGTAAAAAAACATGACGGTATTTCTTACACTGCCCGTGACAGCCCCACGGCCTTCTGCGAGTACGTAATTTTGGCAGCATTGATCCACGGACAAGCAAAACCTCTGGACCGGTTTCAACATGACAGTGTCTCATCAGCGTCCATCGTGAGCGAATGTTTAATATTTGTTATTATTTCTACACCGACGGAAAGCGACATAACACTGGTCAACACACTTTTTCTGGCATAAGGTATTCCACCGGTTTTAAGGTAATTTTGGGGTGCTGATTCCAAATCAGGTTTTTGAGATATCAAATATTGCATTTTCAATAAAAACTGCAGAAGAAAAATATTAAATAAATGTGGATATCTACATAAAGTGATATTATAAACACACTATCCTAAAAATACAGCACCATATTTTAACACTAAAGCAGTCACTGACTCGCAACAACTTGCAATCATAAGTGACAGAGTTAATTTCGGGTAAAATCAATGAAAATGGGGTATGCCGATAGCATGAAAATGAGATGTGATAGAGCAAATCTTGAAAACCCTGAAATTAGTCTAAAAGAGCTGCAAAAGTCTAGGCCAGAATTTTTTGTTGTTGTTGACCAGTGTATAATTGATAGTTTTTTTTGTTGACCAGTGTAATTTTCCCCATGCCGCAGTGGCGTGGCATGGCGAGCGGCGTGCCATTGGTTTGTTGGCACAGTGCCACGTTTCGACTGTAGGTTTTTCAAGTTTGAGCAAAGGCTGGTGAGTTTGTTTGATAGTTAAATTTTTGGGGGGAGGCCGGTCCCCGTGTGGCAATTCCCACGTCCCAGCTGCCAGCAGGCACCAAGCAGCTGCAGCACTCGTCATCAACGATCACCGGACCCAGACGGTGCCACACATTGGGTGTCACAAGCACGGGTGACACGCACAGGAGCGTCACGTACGGGAGCGTCACGTACGGGCAACGTTACAAAAAAAAATCTGATCCCGACGCTGGCGCACAGGAACGTGGCGTGCGCGGAGCGAGCTGCCCACAGGCGGAGCGAGCTGCCCACGGGCGGAGAGAGCTGCCCGCCGGTTCGTACACAACGAGAGCGATCGGTCCACAGCGGCCCTCGGGCGGCAGCTGCTGAGCTGAAGACGTGGCCAGGCGGAATGGCACGCGAGTGACGCTTCTCATGCTGTCCTGTCCCCCCCCCCACACCCGCGTACCCTCCCCCCCTCATCCCCACCCCCCCCGCTTCCCAACTTTTGTATTGACGACTCGCTGCATGAATTTTGTGGTGCGGTATGAATCGGACATTGTTATTATTGTTGCTATTGCTGTCGCTGTCGTTGTTGTTGTTGGCGCTCGTAAGCCGCTGCAGCACGAGCAAGCGCATTCACGCGCGGGCTGCTCTTCCTGGCGGGCAGGCGAGGCTGTCCGGGCTTGTTGCCGTGTCGACGTCGGTGGCATTGCGAGCAGAGCGTGTCGGGTGTCCGCCAGCCGCTCTATAATCGGCAGCGCGGCCCCGCCTGCCCCATACCGTGGGTGACCTTTACGCGGAGGTCACTGTATCTTCGCCAATCGTCGTCGTCATCGTTATCATCATCATCATCGTCGTCGTCGTGTACCCATGCCCAACCCCTGCCTGCGTCGGCGTTCAAAGGAGATTGCGCGCCGCTCCCCCCGTCAAAGCTCTTCCAATAATAACCTTGCTGCTCCGTTCACGAGAATCGTGCGTCCCACTCTTTATCCGTCGCGCACTTTATGAACAGTGCCGCTTTGTCGCCGGCCCCTTGACGTGTGCTTGGGACTCTGGGCGACTGTGCTCGGCGACTAACGTTGTCTCGTCTCTCTCTCTCTGTCCCGCGGTGGTTCGCTCGCGTGGATTGCTCTCCTGTTGTTCCCTCTTTCCGGTTTCGCCACCCCCCTCCTCGGCATTTATAAACGCCACGCGGCATTTCGATTATTCGGCCGCTGCTTCCTGTAAATCTCCACGTGTGATGATGATGATGGTGGTGGTGGTGATGATGGTGATGATGGTGATGATGATGATGGGGATGATGATGGTGGTGGTGGTGGTGATATCAGCCACTTCTATGAGCTATCACGTGGGGCCAAGTCACCTCTGATAAATAGCTAATGGTTTAGGCTGAGTCGACCTAGGGGTGGCCCAAGAACCTCTCCAGATAATCTTCACCACCAACCCCCCACCACACACCCCAACCTACCGCTCGCTCCCACTCACGGATAACGATAGTTGATCTTCTTGGTTATTTCGGTAAAGTCACGTAGAAGGGAAATAATAAAATAATAAAATAAAACATAATACAATTCTCACGACGTTTCGGCCACAACGCAAGCAGTCGTCCTTTCCGACAGCCCTGTGAAAGAAAGAACCAAGAAGATGAATGCTTGCAGTCACGAAAGCTTTAAATCGAAACGATAGTTGAGTTTAGTTTTTCCATTTTAACATTGCCACCAGTTTACGTTTTGTTGACAACAACCGCAGCTCGGTGCCAGCATTTGCCCGCCCAGGCTGCTCACCCTGTTCTGTCCCCTCCCAGGGCCTCTACCTGAAAACAACCCCGGAAGGCATGCACGTGGTCACGGGGGTGGTGGAGAATGTGAGTAGACTAAAACAGCCAACGACACACACACGCTCTCGCACAAAGACGAAGATCTCACCCCCCCCCCCCCGTACTGCCTTAACAGGCGTGTTGGGGCAGGCGCTGTTCGCGAGTGGCGCCTACGAAGGCCGGGGCGGCACTCGATGACGGTGGTGGGTGGCCAGCACCTTTATCTCCCGAACGCCGATGTTTACACACCGTAGCAGGGTGTTCATTTGAGGCCGAGTCGACCTAGGGAAGGCCCATGACCGGTTCAGATAATCGTCACCGGTTTTGGCCTTGAGCGGGGGCATGAACTGAGGTTGCTGGGTTCATCGAGCAGCATGCTAACCACTTCACTGCCACTCCCTACACACTCATACACGCACACACTCACTCATACACGCCCACACACACATTAATACACTCATACACTCCCGCACACAAAGACATAAGCTCATACACACAAGCACACATTTATGGACCCATACACTCATAAACGCATGCACTCACACACGAACACTAAACATACACTCATACACCACGCACAGACATGCGCTCATACACTCACGCGCACACACACGAATAAACGTTCGAATCGTCCTAAATGCCACCTCTGGGCCAGATTTTGAGCATTTATTTTTTAGTATCAAGATTCATCTGAACTTTGGGAAGCCCTTCCCCCTCTGACCATTTTAGGAACCTGTCTGGGAGCGTTGCGGTTCGTGGTGCCCTAGTTGGTACCACTCTGTGGACTCCGACCCGAGTCATTGTCTGGAAGTCCACGCTCCTTGTCAACACTCGCCTGGACTTTGCTCACCTCCGATTGCCTTGGGGTTTCCACGGTTCGGAAATCGCAATCTTTATTTGGCCCGGAGAAATCTTGACACGCTGTGAAGCTCTCTCTTTCACAGGCGCCCGGTTTGTTCCGCGAATGGCTCTGCCTAGGGAGCGGTGGTGCAGCGGTTAGCGCTACGATGCGCTGAGAACCTTGGCGACCCGAGTTCGATTCCCGCTCGCGGCCAACACCCAGTGGCGATTATCTGAACCGGTCCTGGGCCTCCCCTAGGTCAGCCTCAAATGAGTACCCGGTGCGGCGTGTAAACATCGCCACTTGGGAGACAAAGGCAGCACGGCGTGGTGCTGGTCACCCACCCCTTCGCATGCTGTGCCGGCCTTCATAGGTGCTCGCTAACAGCACTTGCCCGACAGTCTGTGAATAGGCTACACGGGATTCTTTGTCTTTTGTTGCGCTGTGCTGTGTACTGTATGTCCTGCGTGTGTTGTGTTATGTGGTGTAACGTACGTTGCTCTTTGCTGCGTATGTTCTGTGAATAATTTTTCGCGCTATGTATGTTGTTCCGTGTTGCGTATGTGCTGTGTATGATTTGGTGTGTGTCTGTGTTGCGCATGTGTGCATCGTACGCCCTGCGTGTCATTTGTCGTGCTACGCGCAGCCGCTCCGCGTTGTGTACGTCCCGCGTGCAATAACTCGTCGCGCGCGAGTACGCTAGCCCGCGGTGCGTCGTGTGTCCTGTTTGCGAGGGCCGCAGGGCTCTCCTGCGGCTCTCGTGGTCGTTCATCACGAGGAGTGCGTCTGTGTGTACGCACGTCGCCGTCCGTTTGCGCGCTCGCGGCTCCATACGGGAGAGCCGCTAATGTTCGTTTTAACACGTCGTAGTAGTGGCCTTTCGCGACCGATATTAACGACGGTGCAGGTTGTTTTTCTTTCAGGTTAGATCGCGTGAAGTCGGTTACTTCAGCGCACCGGTTGTGTGTTGCAGAGTAAACCCGCAACATTCACAGTTCTGAGTACCGAGAAATCGCACTGGCGGTAATCACAGCCAGCTTCATTGGGCGATTTTCCAGCATTATCTCGGGCCACGGCAGATCTCTCGCCTACTTCAGCAGTTTTTTCTTGCTTTGGTTGTCCTACCTGATGACGATTGCTTGTGTTGTGATCGAAACGTCGTGGTCTGTTATTTTTCTACCTACGTGACTTTACCGAATAAACCAAAGAGTATGGATTCCTGCAATCACGAAAGCTTCAAATCAAGAATTAACTCGTCTCGCTGCGCTGTTCCTCTCCCGCACCTTGCCCCTGTGCCCAGTCCCCAGCTGACCTCTCCGGCAACATTCACGACGGCGATGAATTAATCGCGGTCGACCGGCAGACGGTGGTGAGTGAGTAACCCCGCACGCGAAACTTCCCGCTCCTCGCGTCCCCGTCGCCACGACGATCGCGACCGGTGGGGGGGCGGGGGGTTGCCACGGTGATAATATTCGAACGGCACGGTGACGATACGGCAACCAAAGGTCCTCCCGCAGCGACGTGCAAAAAGTGTTGGGGAAGGCCGGGAGACGCGGCCAGGAGGCCTCACAACAGAAGCAGGTGTATAAAGAGCACTCGGGGCATTACGCAGAAACCATCAACATTTCTTGAAAAACAATCCTCTTCTATTTTGTGTTTTTTTTAAGCGCCTTTCGCCAAGGCGCTTGACGATGCTTACCGACCGCGGTACGAAATGGCAAAAGTAAGGTGACGGGGTGGGGTAGCACGTCCGTTTAGCGGTCGGGTTTGGAAAAGGATTGAGACGTGGGCAGTAGGGGAAGGAGGCGACGGGCATGTGGGGGGGGGGGGGGGGGAGTTGAAGGAAGAATGGGTGGAGCGTGATGGTGGATGGGTTAGGTATGAAGTGAGCGCACGGTTCGTGACGTTTACTCGCGGCGCTTCGGAAATAGAAATGTGACGCCCGTTGTTTATTTCTCCTGCCGCGTTTACGACGCCGACGGTGAGACGCAATCGCGGTCCCCTCCTTTTGCGTGAAGTTGGCCGGCCCCACCCTTTACCCCCCCGCCCCCCCCACCCCCGTATAAAATTCCCTTTGCGCTCGGTGTGTCCCGATTCGGTGAGCGAGGTGGTGGGATCTCCAATCTTCGGCCCGTTATTAATCCCCCGCCTGCGGATTTGTGAAGTTGAGGTGGGTGAGGAGGTGGGCGGGGGGGTTGGGGTGTGTGGTGGGGGGGTTGGGGTGTGTGGGCGGCGCTCTGGACTGCTTCAGACTCATTGTTTTGCCTGACTGGTAGATAACTGACGCTGACGCAGTCACCGCGACCGCATCGAGCCACGGTGGCTCGGTGATCATTTCCGAGCGCTCCCCGAGAGGTGGCCCTCTGACTCCACCCGCAGGGCAGCACTCGGCACTGACCGCGCCGAAAACGCCGTACAGGGCGATCCGCTTCGACAGTCTCCGTTTATTTCCCTACGGCCCCAGTGTGCGTATGCACGTAGCCAGCCGTGCTAATCACGTGTGCGGGGAAGGACAAACAAAGTAAACGCAGAAAGCCGTTTGAAAGAAATTATTTTCAGTTTAGTAGAGTAGCGTAGTGTACAGTGTTGTGTAGTATGTAGTGTTTAGCGTAGTGTGTATTTTAGTATATAGTGTAGTGTATGGATGTTGACCTTCTTTCGCACCGTACGTAGCCAACCGTGCTCATCAGAGATCCGGGGGAAGTACAAACAACTTAAACACAGAAAGCAGTTCTAAAGAAATGAGTTTTCAATCTAGATGATTCAAAAATTGCAGACCTCCAGTGTCTTCCTAATATCGGAAGGAAGAGACCCATACAGACCCACAGAGATCCAGAGACTCATATAGACCCACAGAGACCCACAGAAACCCATAGAGACACATACTCATATGTAAGCATATATGTACGTATGTTGAATCTTGATTTGAAGCTTTCGTGACTGTAGGTTATGATTATTTTTCTACCTACGTGACTTTACCGAAAGAACCAGAGAATATGTATGTTGAACTTCTTTTGCACCGTACGTAGCCAACCGTGCTAATCGGAGGTGCGGGCAAGGACAAACAAACCAAGCACAGCACGGTTCTTCTTATTGTTATTATGATATTTTTTCTGTATAGCGGGAGGGAAAAGCGACAGCATTGAGAAGCTTACGTCATCGGAACGGAACGGGAAGAACAAACCGTTGACGTGCACACGTCAGTGCGTCGCCGGAATGGTAAAGGGTTAGATTGTTGGGCTGTATCGGACCCAAAACAAATCAAATCTTAGGTCGGATCATTACGTGACATCAACTCGAAAGAACAAAAATCGATGACTGAATCGTACCCTCCTGGGCTCGTGGTGTGACGCAGGTCGGCTGGGAGATGCAGAACGTGGTGAGGGTCTTGAAGCAGGACCCGAGTGGCGTAGAGGTCACCCTCAAGACTCATCCCCCCTTCGCCGGCGAGCCGCAACCGCCGCAGCCGCCACAACCGCCGCAACCGGCAACCGCCACCGCCGATCAACAGCACGCGACCTCCGACTCGGCCGCCCCCGCCGCCGTGACCTCCGACCCGGCGGCGTGTCCACACAAGGGCCAGAGGATCAGAAGACAAAAGCCTTTGGATCGCAATGCACGTACCGTTGTTCCCGCTCGTTGTTGTCGGGTGTGTGTCTTCGTGTGCCGTGGGGGTGGCTGCGTGCATTCCGTCGATGGGGAAGACAAAGGGGGGTGGGGGGGGGGTCCCCTTATTCTTTACGGGTGTGGAGTAGTTGATAAGCGGCATCTTTATTGGGCCCTTTTCTGTCAGTGTCAAGATGATGAACAATGATACAGGAGACCAGTCACCGAGAACAAGGCATGAAGTCTGCGTTGACCACACATGTTTTGACATATGCATGCATTTATGCTGAACTTCTTTTGCACCGTACGTAGCCAACCATGCTAGTGCGGTTTTTAGTTGTTTTTTTTTCCGAGGGCCACCGTGACCCACTCATTCTGGACAGCCACACACAGAGGGTTGTTGACGCGACGCAAGGAAAGCCGCTCCCCGTGCTCGTATCGTCGAAAAAACAAAGGCCAGTGTTGATGGTCAGGCAAGATGTGTGTCAGTGTCAAAGTCCCAGCGGTTTATGGTTGCAGACATTTCAGCCGTTGACTGGAGGATCGCTGTTGTTGTGGCTCAGAGGTCCGGTGACAATAAAGCGACGAGATCTGTGGAGCTTGCGAGAGTGGATTGAGGAGGATTGAGACAATGACATCTCCCGGGGCGGGGATTATCACGATGATGGTGACGATAATAATGATGGAGATAACGATGGTAATAATGATAGTAATAACAATGGTGACGACGATGGTGAAGACGATGGTGATGATGATGATGATAGACCAACTATACCCGAACATCCAGTGGACCACGTAGACAAATAACCATCAAGGCCACTAATTTCTTTCGATGTCACGACTTAGACATTTCCACAACCCGCTGTGTGGGTGTCTGCGTGTACAGTCTTTCTGAAGTGGCTGGGTGGGTCAGAGGTCAGATCACATGATCCGGCACTGCCCGAATCCTGGGTTCGAGTCCTGGTGCAGCGTGTTAAGAGTTTCGTCCCGATTTTGTGTTTAAGTTTATTTAGACTTGTTGCGCAGATGACTATCCACGTGTAGCAAGTTTCCCCAGCTCGTTTACAAGGGAAAGCCATGGCACGTGATCGCACGATCTCAACGCCGACTGTCGCGCGACAGACACAGACACACGGGTGGCGCTAAATAAGCGGCGACATTTTCACGTTCTGTTCACGTGACAAAACCTGCACTAATTGGCCGTGTCGGGTGGAGGTTGGTTTACGACACGGTTTTACATTTACGCGATATGATATCCCCCCCCCCAAAAAAAACAACTTAGCTTGACCAACATCGGTCGTGGGGAAGCCCTTGTGGATCACGACTGGCGTGTGTCCGTTCCCGCGTTGCTGTGTCCCCGCAGGCCAAGGTGAAGGTCGTGGTCGATCCCGCTCACCACGCGCAGCCCGAGGGGGGGGGCGGAGGGGGGCGGGACGGTGACGACACACCCGTGGACGCTCTCCCGCTGCCGCTGCCGTGTCTCCCTCCGTGCTCGTAAGTGCGAGCGCCTCCCCTGTGACAACGAAAACAAAAAGTGCGTTTGGGAACGGTTTTAAAATTAATTATTTGAAGAAACGCTTGCAGTTGTTTTGTTAATAGCGGGCTCCGTTGAGATTGTGGGTTCAAATGTGGGCTGTAATTAAACTTAGCGACACTTGCCGTTAATAGCGGGCTCCGTTGAGATTGTGGGTTCAAATGTGGGCTGTAATTAAACTTAGCGACACTTGCCGTATATATTCGGAGCTTGCATGTCTCTCCCCCGTGGTCACGTGGATTTTTCTCCGGGTTTTTCCCTCCCCACATTTAGAATCAACGTCGCGCGTTCAGACTCTTTTGCAGCTGCTGCTGTAAATTTTCACGCGACGATGATGATAAGCCACTGTCGTTGAACTTCCATCTGCGATAGCCATGTCGCTTCTGCAAAATAAAGCTCTATAGCTAAGTGGGGCCTTACCTGCTACAATAAAAATAGTTTATAGTTTAATAGTGAATCGATGATCTGAGCTCAGTTACGAATGGCGGGCGCAGGAGCAATGGCGCTGACGGAGACCCACGGGCGGGGACGGCGGTGCGGGACGGCGACGCGGCAGTGACCGCCGTCGCCGCCACCGTCACCGCCATCGTCGCTGCCATCCCCACCGTCACCCCCACCGCCACCCCCACCGCCACCGTCACTGCCATCCCCACCGCCACCCCCACCGCCACCGTCACCGCCATCCCCACCGTCACCCCCACCGCCACTCCCACCGCCATCGTCACTGCCACCCCCACCGCCATCGTCGCTGCCATCCTCACCGCTACCCCCACTGCCACCATCACTGCCACCCCCACCACCATCGTTGCTGCCATCCCCACTGCCATCCCCACCGCCACCCCCACCGCCATCGTCACTGCCACCCCCACCGCCATCGTCACTGCTATCCCCATCGTCACCCCCACCGCCACCCCCACCACCATCGTCGCCGCTACCCCCACCGTCACCCCTACCGCCATCCCCGCCATCCCCACCGCCATCGTCGCCGCCACCATCACTGCCATCCCCACCGCCACCGTCACTGCCACCGCCACTGTTGCTGCCACCCCCACCGCCACCGCCACCCCCACCACCACCGTCACTGTCATTCCCACCACCACCCTCTCCCCCACCGCCAACCTCACCCCCACCGCCACCGCGGGGGTTCCTGCTCACCCGCCAAGTCCGCCGAGGGCCGACCGAAAGCGGTGCCGGCACGAGCGTGGCCGAAGTCGCTCGTTCAGCCGCGGCGCTGCGCCGGACGGAGCGTCTACCGGGGCCCGGGATGGAGACCGGGGAGGGGGCGTCGGCTGCGGAGGCTGCGGCGGCGACGGTGGCGGTAGTGCCCGTGACCACGGTACGGTGAACGGCGGTGAATGGTGGTATTGGTGAATGCTGGTGAAGGCTGGTGAATGGTGGTGAATGATGGTGAATGGTGGAGAATGGTGGTTTTGTGAACTGGTACGGTGAATGATGGTGGTTCGGTAGAACGGTGGTGTATGATGGTGAACGACGATGTTTTCTTGAATTACCTAATTGGCGATGATCGCTGCCCTACTGCGACAACTTGCCAGGACCCCCCTTGGGAAAGAGCTGCCTAGCTCATTGGGCCTAACCAGCTGAGATAATAACGTCTAACATTCCTGGGCAAGCTAGCGAAAACAAGGCAGCCCATGCAATCGATATTATTCGACAATAATTTTGGAGCTTCTGGTTGCAATGTGGACTACGCAGGCTGAAATGGCTTGGGGAAACATCCCACTTGGAATAAAATCAATTTCCTTGTCAAGCGAGGTGAAGTTTATCAGAGATGCAATCTTAAACGTGTCCCCGTGTCTATTCAGGCCTCACCCACCACCAGTCACTGCCAGCTGACTTCAGGATGCCGGGGAACATTCTGGAACACGAAGGTACGTCGTCTGACTGAGTGGTCGTACCAGCAGCAGCACCAACTCTCCAAGACCATGGTTCAAGCAGAGCATGCCGAGATGTTAACTACCTCGCTGGTATACAGGAGGTCGTGGGTTCGATCCCAACCCTGACGATGCCTGCTGTATATTTGGAGTTTGCGTGTCTCTCTCTCATCATCATCACGGTGGCTAGGAGATGTTAACTACCTCGCCTGGTATACAGGAGGTCGTGGGTTCGATCCCAACCCTGACGATGCCTGCTGTATATTTGGAGTTTGCATGTCTCTCTCTCATCATCATCACGGTGGCTAGGAGATGTTAACTACCTCGCCTGGTATACAGGAGGTCGTGGGTTCGATCCCAACCTTGACGATGCCTGCTGCTGTATATTTGGAGTTTGCATGTCTCTCTCTCATCATCATCACGGTGGCTAGGAGATGTTAACTACCTCGCCTGGTATACAGGAGGTCGTGGGTTCGATCCCAATCCTGACGATGCCTGCTGTATATTTGGAGTTTGCGTGTTTTCCCCCGTGGTCACGTTGATTTTTCTCCAGGTCCTCCCGTTTTTCCCTCCACATTAAGAATCAACGTGCGTTTAGAGTATTTGGCTGCTATACATTTTCAAATGATGATAAGCCACTTCATTGGGTTATTGCTTGTGGCCAGGTTGCTTCTGAAAAAGAGCTATATTGCTCGGTGGGCCTTACCTGATCAAATTTTAAAAATAGTGTTTAGTTTAATCTTATCTAATTTATAGAGCGCCTTCACTCAAGGCGCTTGAAAAAGCTTACAAAAACCAAACGATAAAGTACGCACAAACAATCTCCACAACTAACACGACACACAGAGGGCATTCATCCAGGGGCTGTAAATTACTATTATTAGTATTATTATGATAACCGTTATTCATAAAGGTTTTTGGGTTAGATTGCATAAGTATAAATGTGTCGTATCCCTCCACTGCTCGCCACAGCCAGTAAGGTTTGTCACGTAAACAACGCGCCGATTAGTTGACTACTTAAGCCCACCGGTGTGTTGGAGAGTAAATCCACAACATTTACAATCTGAGTAGTACGACGTTTCGCTGGTAATTACATTCAGCATCATCGGGCGATTTGCTAGAATAGTGAAGCCATCCACCTGCTTCCGGTCTTAAATATAGCAGGACGACGTCATCACTGTGAACCCATCATGATTAACATTGGTCGCGAAAGCCTACGTATTAAAGCTGTTGTTATTGTTTCAAATACTTTCAGGTTAAATTGAAGGGCAAAAATTCGTTTAGCTGTCTGCGGGGCGTCGCTTCTTCCGGAACATTAAGTCAGGGCCGGCCGTTGGTGGTCGTGCAACGTGGAATTCACTGGGGGGCAGGAGGGGGAGCATCGGCAAACCGCGCCACCTCCCGCACCTCCGCCCCCCAGCCCAGCTCAGTTAGCCTCGGCGAAGGCGCGGTGTGAATTTAAACTAAGACGAGGTGAGATCGCGCCGATGACGTAATGCCCCAGCGCGCACTGACAGCGCTTGATGCCTTCTGTTGCCAGGAGCTTCAGACGGCACGAGACCCGGGCCCGCGGAACGCCACGGCGTGGTCGCCCCGGGCCTAGCGTCGGAGGCGTCCGTCGGCCCTGAAGGGCGAGGAACGGCGGTGGGTACTTTCAGGACCGAACCCAAAACTTGACCGTCGTGGGTTTTTCACCGACGCCGCACCGACCGGCGCGGCGATGTTTGGTCACGTGTGCACGTACGTACGTTTGCCTTCTTCCGCGCCGCACGTGGCCAGCCGTGCTGATCGGAGATGCCGGCGGGAAGGACAACGAACGAAATGCAAAAAGCAGTTCTACAGAAATTAGTGTTTCGAAATGAGTTTTCGAGTCACCCCCACGAGCCGTAAGGTGTGGGGAGGTCCACATCCAGCAGTGGATTGACAAACGCCTCTGCTTGTACGTGCTTGCACCACAAGCATTGCACAAGCGCCGTGGTGATGTCACCGCCACTTAGTGGTTGACGGCGGTTGTTATTTGATGCAATGGGGAGGTCTGCACCTTGTATTTGAAAATTATTCTCTTGTTCCACTGCTCCACTTTTCAATTCCCTCTTCCCATCGTTGTCATCATCTCTTTCCGCTGGAGCTCTTATTATTCTGAAAATATCACGACGTTTCGATCGCAACACAAACAATCGTCATCAGATGCTGCGATCAAAAGTCGTGATGTTTTAATTATTTTTTCTATCCACGTGGCTTTACCGAAAAACCCAAAGAATATGAATACCTGCAGTCACGAAAGCTTTAAGTCAAGATTCTTAAAGTAATCATAATAATAACCTTCATTCGATTCAAGAAACGTGCAATCACTCTTATCTTTCACAAACTTTTATTGTGCCGTTTGTCACTGGGTTTGGGCCATCGGGCCTATATATAATTACACAGGAAGGCCACAGTGAGTCTCGTAGACTCTTTTACAGCAGGGTTCTGCTTCATGGGGGACGGGGGGCGACAATTGCCGTGTCGCTTCCGATTGAGTGACTTGCGGTGTGGTTCTTCAAACTTGAAGAATCGGTGGTGGCCGACACACATCGGCCGACTCTTTTGAAATAGCATAGTTCCGTTTTATTTCTATATATATAAATATTATTTGATGATTTGCTTACCTTTCCTATACTTTTCACTCCTGTCCTGTTTTTGTATTGCCTGTTGTAAATGTTCTGACCCCTTGCCCCTCATCTGGACGTCTGTAAAAAAGAGCTTCATGGTTCATCGAATTCCTCCTGCAGTATAAATATATATTCTGATTCTGACTTCACAAGGTCCCTGACGTACCAAAGTGAAACAGGCCGTGCGTAGCATTTCTACGGTTAACGCACCCGTGGTTGAGAAACTGTACTTAAAATATATAATTATTCTTTTCTAAATGCAATGTTTCCTGTTTCGTGTGTGGCAGGATGAAACTGCCGGAGCTGACAACGATCGTTCAGTGTGAGTAAACCACATGATGCCATCGTGCCAGACATCGCATGTGTGTACACGTACGTTGAACTTCTTTGGCACCGCATTGTAGCAATCGTAGGTGCGGGGGACAGACATCAAACATTGCTTTTCCTTTCTCCGTAGATTGCTTCCATTCACGTTTACATGACACGTGGTAGCTACCAACAATAAACTAAACTCAAACAATGTTTTATTTGACCAGGTAAGGCCCATTGAGCTCAGGAGCGACCTTGCTGTCGCAAGTGACACCCCAACGAGAAGTGACTTAACGCATGGACATCTGTAGCAGCCAAAATTACTTCTAAACGCGCGGCGTCCATTCTAAACGTGGGAGGGGAAAAAAAACGGAGGACCTGGAGAAAAATCCACGCGACCACGGTGGGGGGGGGGGAGAGAGAGAGAGACACACCGCAAACTCCACCGGGGACGGGATGGAGCTCATTTTCGTGTCGCACTCAACGGCGTGTGGCCTTTCCTTTGCGGTTTCTGCGACGAGTGTGCGGTGGTGGTGGCGGAGTCGTCGTCGCTGTCTGTGCGGCGGTGGCGACGGCAACGTGGAAGTTCCCGCATTTTTGCCCGGAGAGGAAACGAGAGCCGATGGGGTGTCGAATTACTCTAAAACCCACATTCTTTTGCAGAATAAAATAGTTCCCTTTATGATTACATTTGTTATTATTTTACAGTACCGTGCTTTTGAGACTTAGGGGGAACTGCTGTTGGGTGCTACTTGTTGCGAGCGAATGAGCTGCCTTGACATGGCTCGTGTGAGTTTCCCCCCTCAAGCCCCCCCCCCCCCAACACAGACAATGATCCCCCCCGTATAGCCTCAACATACTTTTGGGGCAAGTGCTGTTAGCGAGCACCTACGAAGGCCGGCTTGTCCCGGTCTCCTTCCCGAGTGGCGACGTTTACACACCGTAGCAAATTCCATTTTTTGGCCAAGTCGACCTAGGAGGAGGCCCAGGTCCGGTTCATACAATAGCCACTGGTGTTGGCCGTGAGCGCGAATGGAATTCGGGTTGCCGGGTTTGTGGCGGAGCGCAGCGCGCTAACCGCTACGCTACCGCTACCTCGCACGCACGCACACAACACGCGCGGCGCTCGCACGCATTGCAAACATAAAGGCTTGATGGCTTCCTGTCTTGGCTCGAACAACCTGAATACCGGCTTGTCCTCGTTTGTTTGTTTTACAGGTCACGGCAAAACGCGGAGAGAACACCGAAGACACCGGCGGCAGCGGTGAGTCGGGCCAATCTCTGGTGAAACAGTGTGATCGAAAATAAGAAGTGATGATGACGCATTTTTAGTTTTTTTAAAGAAAGTTCACGTATTTTCTGTGGTGGAAACTGGCCAGCGGACGGCTCACCGGTACGCCGCACCGGCAACGTCTCCGTGCTCGCGGCGTTCGCTGCGGGGTTGCCTCTCCGTTTGTTTGCGCGACACCATTTGGCCAATCGTTTTCCCTTTTTTCGGCGACGCGCGGACAAATTCCCCCCGGAATTGACGTTCTGTGTGTGTGCGCGTTTGTGTGAGCGTGTGCGTCAGCGGAGCGGTAGCGTCTCGGTCAGCGCTACGCTGCGCTAGGAACCCGGCCACGCGAGCTCGGTTTCCGCTCGCGGCCAACACAACGGTGGCGATTATCTGAACCGGTCCTGGGCTTCCCCTAGGCCGACTCAACCTCAAATGAGTACCTGGGTGCGGTGTGTAAACATCGCCATTAGGGGAGACAAAGGTGGCCGGGCGTGGTGCTGGCCACCCACCCCCTCGCGTGCCGTACCGGCCTTCATAGGTGCTGCTCGCTAACGGCACTTGCCCCTACAGTCTGTTGAGGCTAGACGGGGGGTCTTTGTCTTTGTGAGCGCGTGTGAGAGACACTGGTCCGTGAATCTCCACCCATGCCGCCACCCACCCACCCACCACCTTCCCCTTGCTCTGCTCCGCTGTGAGACCCTTGGACACGTGGGAAAAAGAGCTTCATAGCTCATCGGATTCACTCCTCCAGTCCAAATGAAGATTCTGGATCCCTTGGAGACGCGGAGCGATCGCTTTAACAACGCTCGCTCTCACCCTCCCCCTTGCTGAGAGAGTCAGAGGAGCAGTGGGGTATTTATAAACGGGTCACTGTATATTGCTCATATAACTATTTTATTGATCACGTTATGTGCACGTAAACACTTGTAGACTACCGCTGTAAAAACGATATAGCTGTTTTTTTCGTAGAAACGAGCTGGCCGCAAATGGTTGCCCAATTAAAGTGGCTTATCATCGTGTGGAAATATATAGCAGCCAAATACTCTAAAACGCATGTTTCTAAGTGTGGAGGGAAAAACCGGCGGACCCGGAGAAAAATCCACGCTACCACAGGCAGAGAAAGACACGCAAACTCCCAATATACAGCAGCATGCGTCAGGGTTGGGATCGAACCCACGACCTCCTGCACACCAGGTGAGGTAGTTAACATCTCCCAGCCACCGTGACATCCAAGATAGTGGTAGCTCCCACTCTCCAGACAGCGCGAGGCAGCACACCTGATAGCGGTGTTGGCATTACAAAGAGAGGATGCAGGAGGTGTGGTGTGGGAGGGAGGGTTGGCGTGGAATTGCAGGGCTTGGCTGTAAAAGACCGCTGTGTTACCCGCAAACCGGTTGGTGTCTCCGGGGCTTTTATTGCGGCGGCAAGGTGCAGGGGCACAGATCAGCCAGCGGCGTCCAGAGTTCAGCAGGCCCCGTGCGTCGGCATTCGATTGAAAGCCGGGGGGCCGTAAAAATACCTGTTTGACGAAAATATCACCGCAGCCCAACGAGCGGGCAAAGTCCACCTCTTGACCACCAAAGCGAGAGAACTCCCAGGGTAGGGAAGCTGTCGCACCCCACCCACTCCCCCCCCCCCCGACCACTACGATGTACCGCGGCGAGCCCCAGGGGCTTGTGAGCAAGCGCTCGACCTCCGCTGCAACGTTCCGCGACCCGTCGTGGGCGAGTGGCGAGGGCGGTCTCCCGTTCCGCGATCTCGTGACGAGGCTCCGCGGCTGAGGGTGCGAACGCGACGTCGTCATCGTCGTCGTAGTCGTCGTCGTTGTTGTCTTCGGTGAAGAAGAGGAAGACGACTCGGCTTCAGAATGTACAGCCTCCGCGAGCATCACGTCAGCCAGGTTTGTGTTGCCTTTCGCGACCGCCCGACCGGCCATGTGCGTGCGTGTCTGTGGGGGTCATGTAGCCCCCACATGCCCAGCCACCGCATACCCAAGCAGCTTCTGTTGAGCTGGATAGAGGGTGCTAAGTGGGTGCGGCACAGGCTAGAGAAGAGATGGACTGAGGTTGTTCGGGAGGATGCGGAGCTGAGTGGACTTTCCGAAGACCGGTACCAGCGGCCTCTTTGGAGGAGGTTCTTGAAGCACGCTCCTGGGCAGTTGGACGCAGTCGGCCTTTAACAACAGCGGTGGGTAGAGGAGTGATGCTCACAACAACGAGCGGAGCGCCGGGCAGCTAACATGCGACAAGTTGGCACAGTAGGGGGCACAGCTGATGCATCTGCCCAGTCATCTTGGTCAACCCATGGCACCTGCTGGGTCTGTCCCGTGACCTATCACGTGGCCTCAAAGTGTACCTAGCCCGGCACAAGTGCCGTGGTGGCATCACCGCCACTTAGTGGCGAATGGCGGCTGCTGTAGCTGTTGTCGTGTGATGCTGGTGCATCCCCCCCCCTCCGTTTGTTTTCGCCAGTTTTATTTCCCGTGTGATTTCCCGTGACTGAACGGATGTTTAGGATAAGTGCAGGCGGTCTCCGGCTTACGACGACCCGCGTTTTACGACGTTTGCTATCATGCCGCCGTGGATCGATTCACGACGCAGCTTCCCGAAGTTGCTCCGAACACATTTTTTCGAGCGGAGAGAGTTCGCTCCCTACCGATGTGACTTGGGGTTAAGCGTTTTTGTTATTTTTCGAGTGTTTGCGTTGATGTTCACCTATTACACTCTGTACGATACGGCCGATGAAAGGAAGAAGAAGATAAAACACATTGGCAAGTGACGTTTCGAACTGTCTATCGGAAAATACGATCCGATTCACTCTGATGACGATCCGATTTGTACGACGATGGGATTTCCAGGAACGCATTAGCACGGCTGGCTACGTACGGTGCGAAAGAAGTTCAACATACGTACGTGACGTCGTGAAAGCGAGGACCCGCACTGCACCGCAATGCGGTTTCCTCTTCAAGTAGTTTCGCCGTAATTTTTTAGTTTTTCAATATTTCATTTTTCTGCGTCCTCCTTCAACCCCCTCCACCCCTCCGCAACCCCCCCACCCCCCGCCAGCCCCCACCGGGGTCACCGTTGCTAAAGAGCCAGAGCTCAATGCGGCCCCCACCCCCCGGGTGAACAAAATAAATAAATAAAACACACCCAATTTTTGTTTGGGTCCATAATCGTTACAATTACAGAGCGTTCGCAATGAACGCTCCGTTTATTGATCCACTGCTGGATGAAGGCTTGCCCCCCCCCCCTCCCGTGCCACGTCGGTCGTGGTGTTTGTCTGACCATATGACCATACTTCACCACATTGGCCGGTGTTGGTTGATGAAGGAAGGGGAAGTGGTTGGAGGGTGGTGGGGGGGGGTGGGGTTGGGGATGGGGGCCGGCCAGATCCAGATATCGCTCACCACCGACGTTAATCGTGGCCTGGAATCGAACTCGGGCTTCCGAGTCCAAGGCGCTCTGCGTGAAAGTTCATGTGCAGCGCTGCGCGTTTGCGGTTTTTCGCGCGTAATGGCCACGTGAACGTTGCACCCTTTTAACAACACCGCTGTCGTTCCGCACGCCATCGCCTTCAAATGAGTACTTATTGTGGCGTGTAAACGTAGCCACTAGGGAGACGAAGGCGGACGGGCATGGTGCTTGGCCATCCCACCCCCCTCGTGTGCCGTGCCGGCCTTCGTAGGTGCTGCTCGCTAACAGCACTTGCCCCAAGAGTCCGTTAAGGCTACACGAGGAAGAACTTTATCTTGGTCATAGCCTAGAGTTGCCACCTGCCCGGGGTTAACCGGGTCGGTCCAGTCCGGCAATCGGCGGAGTCATCGGAGTTCATGTGGCGGCAGCAGCAGCAGGAATCGAGCTGTAACCGGGATCCGGTGGTTTATAGCGTTGGACTTTATCGCGGTAAACTGCATGGTGTCGATAGGCCGAGGCTGAAGCAGAGCTATGTCTGGGGTTAGGTTTGCGGGGACAGGTGGCGGGCCCAGTCGCTCGCCGGCCGTTAGAAAGGGAGCGGACCCCGGACAGATGCGATCGCAGAGGGCGCGGTGCGTGAACCGTGGCGGTCGTGACGGCTGGGCCAGGAACGACGGAATCCATGAACCTCCCAAGGGACGCTGCGGGCAGGGCGGGGAACCCAACATTTCAGATTTTTTTGTATAAATAAAGCCCTCCGTTAATTACAGCAACAAAAGATTCAGTATATTTTTCTCAGGTCGATTTTAATAACGTAGACAGTCGAACTCCTCTTAACGACCACACCTGTTAACGAATAATCGCTTAACAATGGTCCTCCACGGAGCACAATGTATAGTGTAGTGTATAGTGTAGTGTAGTGCCTCCATAGAACCCAATGTGTTCGCTTACCGACCATTCCCCTGTTAACGACGGGCTGTTGTAGGCACAGCAAATATGAACTAACGCATCGATTAATCGCGTTTCTATTAATATTTCGTGTTTATAATGTTGTTGTTATCTTTATTTAATAATATCCATTGTTCAAATATTATAAAAATACACTTTTTAGGGTGAAAAAGGGGAACTTCCAATGCTATCGGAACGCATCAAGCCTTTCACGTGCATTTGCTGTACTCGCCTAACGACCACATCGCTTAACGACCGGTTTCTTGGAACCAAAAACTTTCGAGGGGTTCCGCTGTGCAATTTTGGGGGGTTTTTAAGTTAGGGGGGCGAGGGGGCGATCACCCACATTGGCCCCCACCACTCCCCTTAGCCGCCTCCTCCCTCGGAGCCGCCGGCCGGACTGAACTTTGAACTCTGGGAGTGCTCTGCAGAAAGGGGAGGCCATTGAGCAACACGAAAACCCCAGGGCTCACAGAATGGCAGGAAGCTCCACTGCAGTGCACCTTTGGGGGTTCTCCTCGGGGGGAGGGGGGGGTTTGTCACCCCACTCCAAAGAGGAAGGAGGCCAGGCCGTGACCTCTGCTGTGTGTCTGTGTGTGTGTCTGTGTGTGTGTCTGTGTGTGTGTCTGTGTGTGTGTCTGTGTGTGTGATTGTGTGTGTGTGTCTGTGTGTGTGTCTGTGTGTGTCTGTGTGTGTGTCTGTGTGTGTGATTGTGTGTGTGTTTGTGTGTGTGTCTGTGTGTGTGTCTGTGTGTGTGTCTGTGTGTGTGTCTGTGTGTGTGTCTGTGTGTGTGTTTGTGTGTGTGTCTGTGTGTGTGTCTGTGTGTGTGTCTGTGTGTGTGATTGTGTGTGTGTTTGTGTGTGTGTTTGTGTGTGTGTCTGTGTGTGTGTCTGTGTGTGTGATTGTGTGTGTGTGGGGGGCGGTAGTGTTGCAAACAAAAAACATGCTCTGATAATGTTCGGTGCATTGTCTTTGAAACGGATTGGTCCTAACCAGAGACCGGGCGCAACACAAGCGTCCGTCATTCATTTTATTTTTCTACCTACGTGACTTTACCGAAAGAACCAAAGAGTATGGATTCCTGCATTTCACGAAAGCTTCAAATCAAGAAAAGAATGCATATATTATCAAAGCACGTTTTTTTTGTTTGCGTGTTCACCACAAAGTACCGTGTGTGGTTAACGCAGACAGGATTCCGTGAAACCGGTTTCTGTTTGGAGTTTTAACATCTTACCATTTGTTTTAATTTGCCAGAAAAGGTAAAAACCTATTCTTTTATTTTGATACAGGCAAGAAACGTCACATGCCTCGTCCGTTAGCCTGCGCGACGTCCCTTTCAAAGGACTCTCGCTCCACTCGTTCTCTGCAAAATTGACGTTTTTTTTTGTCGTCCGTCATCCCTCGGTGCTGCTGCTACAGCGGCCACCGCCGCCACCGCAAATCTCTCCGTGTGGTAACGGCCGGCCCATCGGCTGAACGGGAACGCGCGCCGTCCGCGCAAGCAAATCAAATATAAACATAACCTCTTTCGCGAACCCCGCTTTGTATGCGTGCATGTGTCGAGCTTTCGCACTGCCAACCGTGCTTATCGGGAGGTGCGGTGGGGCGGGTGGGGGGTTAAGGACAAGAAACTAAACACAACAACAAGCAGTTCTGAAGACATGAGCTTTCAATCCGGATGATTTAAAAGTGCCACAACCTCCCAGTGGCTTGCCCCGAGCCCAGCTCGTGGGCCAGGCCACCGCAGCGGTTCGCTCGCTCTGGGGGGCGGGGGGAGGCACGCGCTCGGAGCACCCACCCACACACCCACACACCCACCTACCCACACACCCACCTACCCACACAGCCACCCACCCACACACCCACCTACCCACACACCCACCCACCCACACACCCACCTACCCACACCCACACCCACCCACACACACCCACACACACACACACCCACCCGCCCACACACCCACCCACACACACACCCACCCACACACACACACCCACCCACACACCCACCCACCCACCCACCCACACACCCACGTACCCACCCACCCACACATACACACCCCCATGGGGGCGGGTGAGAGAGCCGGATATTGTCGCGGTGATTTGACCGCTGCCGCCGCCCGTTGACACTGCGCTGCAAGTGGCGCCGTGCGGAGCCCCGCGCGTGTGCCGATGTGCTGTGCCGCGGAGCCGTCGTCGTCGCCGCGGGTTTCGGTGGAACGGCCGAGGGGTGTGAGCGCCGGGGAGCGTTCGTGCGGCTGTCTGGCCGTGCCGCATGCCCGTTCCGCGTGAGTACGCGGCAGCAGAGCATCGCGAAGTGCCCGTGCAGTTTTTTTTACATTTCCCCTCGTTGCGTCACGGTGTGAGTTGTTGGCGCTCGTTTCTCTTTGCTTCGGTGCAGCACTTTTTTTCTTACTTTTGTCATGTTGGTGACGTGCCCGCCCCCAGCCACCACCAGCCACCCACCACCACCAGGTCACTCTTGCAAATGAGACTCCTCCTCTATCCTGGTCTCTTTGAGAGTTGTTCTCACCTTGCTGAGCAAAGTCAACCCGCCTCGTAGCGTGCAGAGCAACAGTATATAACACCCCCCCCTACCCCCCGATTAGCACGGCTGGCCACGTACTGTGCGAAAGAAGTTCAGCATGCAGTCGTGCAAAGCCAAACGCAGAGCTGCTGTGTTATTACCAGCCAAATGCGGATCGAACGCTGGGTAAAGTCTGATTACCGTGTGGCTGTGCTGGTAATCTCTCCCCACTCCCAGCTGGCCTTAGTGCCGGCTCAACGCGGCGATGGTCGGTTGCGATTGCAAATGGTTTACTTTTTGTCGTTGCGTTTTTGTTGTTGTTGCGCTTTCTTCCGCAGGAAATCTTGCCCTCGGTCCTGCGGCCTCTCTCTGGAACCGCCGAAGCCTTTGTAAGAAAGCTCGCCGCCCATCGGTCGTCGTCGTCGTGGTCGTCGTCATCATCGTCGTCGTCGTCGTCGTCGTCGTCATCATTATTCTTCATCTTCATCATCGTCGTCGCCATCATCATCGTCATCATCATCGCTGTCATCATCGTCGTCATCATCGTCGTTGCCATCATCGTCATCATCATCATTATTCTTCATCGTCATCATCATCGTCGCCATCATCGTTGTCGTCACCGTCATCGTTGTCATCACCGTCATCGTCGTTCTTCATCATCGTCATCATCATCGTCATCATCATCGTCATGATGATTTTTATTCACGGCCAAAGCCTCGGATTGGAATGCGACCGAATGCGGCTCAGGCTCTTCAGTGATCGTGAAGAGTAACATTGCTCGAGATGAAATTACACGTCAATGAAAGCCACGTGGAAATGTTATTTTCGCTGCTATTGTTGTTGTTGCTGCTATTGTTGTTGCTGCGGCTGTTGTTGCTGCTATTGTTGTTGTTGTTGCTGCTATTGTTGTTACTGCGGCTGTTGTTGCTGCGGCTGTTGTTGTTGCTGCTATTGCTGCTGTTGCGAAAATACCGCTCGGTAGATTTTAGCCAAAAACGCGCCCTCTCTGTTGTCGGTGAAAGCGCATCGTGGTTTATAACCTTTTTTGTTGTTGTTGTGTCGCAGGCTGCCAACAATGTTCACATGAGGAACAAGAACCACATCAAGGGAAAAGGTGAGCGTGGATGTATGTACGCATGTGTGTACACGGACTCCTCAACTTACGAACGAGTTAGGTTTCAGAGGTCTGTTCGTAAGTCGATTTGTTCGTAAGTCCAACTTTACTCCTGTCGATTGCAAACACATTGTACGGCGTGTACACAAATGGCTTTAAAAGTTGTACAATCTTCTGTAGATGTACATGCCACTGGTTCTCCACGTTCTGCAGATGTAGATGCCACCACCGCCATCTATTGCGCGGCGGTTGAACGTACGACTCTCGGCCCGAACAGGCGACTGGACATACGGGTTTGTTCGTATCTCTGAAAGTTCGTAAGTAGAGGAGTCCCTGTATGTTGAACTTCTTCCACCGCTATACGTAGCCGACCGTGCTAATCGGAGGTGCCATGTTGTTAACGCACGCTTTGCAATTACGTTGCGAAGTGACCGATAGGGGAGCGCGGGGGTCGGAGGGCGCGACGCGTCGGTGAATGACATCGGCAGGACGCGCATCGTGGCTGGCAGGGACGGTGGCCGATGTTGGGAAATAACGCGCCGGAGTTACAGCCAGGGTGGATTGGGGCGCCATGGTGGCGAGATGTTAACTACCTCGCCTGGTGTGCAGGAGGTCGTGGGTTCGATCCCGACCCTGACGCCTGCTCTCTCTCCCCGTGTTCGTGTGGGTTTTTCTCCGGGTCCTGCGATTTGTATCTCCCCGCCACGTTTAGGATCGGCGTCACGCGTTTCAGAGTATTTGGCTGCCACCAGCGAAAGTGCCCCGGCGAACAGTTCAACATCGCGTGTGACGGATGCGACTTTTAGAAAGCACAACTCTCCCACCCCCCCCCCACGACCGCCCCCTCCACCCCCCCGTGGCACCCCCTCCTTCCCCATCATTTCCCCAACACACCTTCCTGTGCGCAAAAACATCATCATCCTCCTCCTCGCTTGTCGACAAGCCCTCGCGAGCAAGCCAGCTCAACGTTTCGCGTCGAGCTTGGCTGCTCGCGCCTTCCGTCGCGCAAGGAGGCGAAGGCGCAGCCCCTGCAATTTCCCCCGCTCGCGGCCACCGCCGGCCAGAGGGAGCTCTGGTGGCAAAGCCCCCGCCGAGGTTGTTTGGTCCCAACGTTGGACAGGCGGTCGGTCCTTGGATGAGGTGGGAGTGACCCGCGCGACCTGCCGATTGACCGGCTGCGGTGTTCACGCTTGGATGCTGCTGGGTGCGGTGGGGTCCGGGGGTAGGGGTGGTGTGGGCAGGGGGGGCGGGCTGTGAAGAAACTCGCCCCGTTGTTTCCAACAACCAAGCCCTTTGGAACCGCAAGGGTATTGTGTGATCGCCGTCGCCGTTTCACCGCGGTACCAGGTTGTCTCGGTCGCCCGGGCCGCACAGTAACGTGGCGGTACTATTGTTTAGGCCGGTTTTTTTTTTATCTTGGTTTTTTTTAGGTGGAAAGAAAAAAAACGAGCTGTGTGTTGTTGTTGTGAACTTGCTGACCCCTGTGCTCATACTGGACATCTGTGGATCGAATTCCTTCTGCAGTATTAATAAAGATTCTTATTTTGCATATGTTCAGATTAACATAATCCACGCTATGTCGGTTAACTGTGACTAACCCAACTGGTAATATGTACTGCATATTCTCAGATTAAAATGATCTGTTGCATGTTGATTAACTGTGACTAACCCAGCAGGTAATAGGAACTGCATGGTCTCATATTAACATGACGCAGTGCAATTTATGTGATTACATTAACCACCTGATAGGCTCACAGTGATGACATCAACTGGCTGGCACTTTTCGTTTACGTGACGGACCTTAAACTAATTGGCTGTGTCGCGCGGTGGAGGCGGATTTAACGACGCATTTATATTCAACGCGATATAACCCCCCCCCCCCCCCCCCCCACAAAAAAAAACAATCAACCCCTTCGTGATGGATATTGGTCTCGCCAGCCTACCGCGTGTTAAACCAATTCTGATCCCACCGTTTGTCGTCGTCGTGTAAACCGGCCAGCCACCAAGATGAGCAGGCGCCGCATTTCCTGCAAGGACCTCGGGGCGGGCGACCTGGAGGGCTGGGTGTGGAAAAAGAAGCAGATCAAGAGCTTCTTCAAGCCGTCCTGGAACAGGTTCTGGTTCGTGCTGCAGCGGTCGTCCGTCTACTGGTACACGCACCGCAACGTGAGTCGTCCGCGAGTCCGTGAGTCCGCGAGTCCGTGAGTTCGCGAGTCCGCGCGCGTAGGCAACCGTGCCAGGCGAGGTAGTTGTTGATCAGGCGAGGTGGTTGTTGACCAGGCGAGATAGTTGTTGACCAGGCGAGATAGTTGTTGACCAGGCGAGGCGGTTGTTGACCAGGCGAGGTGGTTGTTGACCAGGCGAGATAGTTGTTGACCAGGCGACGTAGTTGTTGACCAGGCGAGATGGTTGTTGACCAGGCGAGATAGTTGTTGACCAGGCGAGATAGTTGTTGACCAGGCGAGGTAGTTGTTGAACAGGCGAGATAGTTGTTGACCAGGCGAGGTAGTTGTTGACCAGGCGAGGTAGTTGTTGACCAGGCGAGGTAGTTGTTGACCAGGCGAGGTAGTTGTTGACTAGGCGAGATGGTTGTTGACCAGGCGAGGTAGTTGTTGACCAGGTGAGGTAGTTGTTGACCAGTCGAGTTGGTTGTTGACCAGTCGAGTTGGTTGTTGACCAGTCGAGGTGGTTGTTGACCAGGCGAGATAGTTGTTGACCAGGCGAGGTAGTTGTTGACCAGGCGAGGTAGTTGTTGACCAGGCGAGATAGTTGTTGACCAGGCAAGCTAGTTGTTGACCAGGCGAGGTGGTTGTTGACCAGGCGAGGCGGTTGTTGACCAGGCGATGTAGTTGTTGACCAGGCGAGATAGTTGCTGACCAGGCGAGATAGTTGACCAGGCGAGATAGTTGTTGACCAGGCGAGATAGTTGTTGACCAGGCGAGATAGTTGTTGACCAGGCGAGGTAGTTGTTGACCAGGCGAGATAGTTGACCAGGCGAGATAGTTGTTGACCAGTCGATATAGTTGTTGACCAGTTGAGATAGTTGTTGACCGGGCGAGGTAGTTGTTGACCAGGCGAGATAGTTGTTGACCAGGCGAGGTAGTTGTTGACAGGGCAAGGCGTTTGTTGACCAGGCGAGATAGTTGTTGAACAGTCTAGATGGTTGTTGACCAGGCCAGGTAGTTGACATCTCGCCACCGTTGCATTGACCCTTCGGGTTTGCCACCTGACCCACTGTAGACCAAAACCCTGGGTTGCGTTTCTTGGCACGAAGGCGGTTAGCGTACCTGTGCGCGACGTACGTAGCCAACCGTGCTAATCGGAGGTGCCGGTGGCGGGGGGACAATGAACTCAACGCAAAAAGTAGTTCTACAGAAATGAGTCTTTTCAATCTTGGATGATTTAAAAGTGCGTAGCTCCCAGTCGGCTTCCTCACATCGAAAGGAAGAGCGTTCCAGACGGCGTCTGAAAGCGCTCGCGACGCCGCGGCCGGTCTTTGTTCGCCGTGGCGGTTTACGCCCCTCGACGTTCGCGCGCGGCGAGCGCTCTCGGTGCGTGACGAGTGAATCGCCGTCGCGTCTTGCGCTCTTGTCTTGGCAGGACCTGAAGGCCGACGGGTACGTCAACCTGCAGGGCTTCAAGGTCGAGCGGGCGTTGGAGAGCCGCAAGAAGTTGTGAGTGCCCCGAGCGAGGGTCGCGTGCCGGGTCGAGCGATGCACAAGTCGGGCGGACCAGGGCCGCTTCTCGCTTAAAGACGCCAAATCCCAGGGAGAAAAATAACAAAAGAAAAAAAAAGTCAGTCTCATCTCACCGGTGCCACGTGGTTGTAACGAGCAGTGCCCAGCTCTTCTCACGCAGCCGATAGTCCCGTCCGGGATGTGGAGTTCTTTCCAGCGAGTCCTCGTTTAGCACGATAAAGTTCGGCGAGATGAAATGTATTGCCGCTACGACGGACACACCACGCGGTGAGGTGGCGGGACAGGAGACTTTGAGCGTACGCCGCTGCTGCGTTTTCGTATCGCTCCGCTCAGCCACGCGGCTCAAGAAAGTAGTTCGTCGTCGTTCGCTCACGTTGTAGTGGCCCGCGCGTTCCACGTTATAACGGTGCACGTTCTACATTACAACGGTACATGTGCTCCACGTTGTAACGGCTCACGCGTTGCGCGTTGTGCGCACAAGTTTTCTCGAACGGGGAGATCCGCATTGCAGCGTAAACCCGGCGTACTGGGAATGGCGCCCACGCTCTAAGAAGCGAGGGCCCACGTACCATCGCGCCTATACCTCGGCCGCCCCCCCCCCCCCCTCGCACTCGTAACGCCGATGCAGCCGTCCGATGTTTCGCGACGGGTCTGCTCGCGGGGGCCGCACTCGAAGAGTTTGAGCGGCGGCGGCGACTGCATCAGATAGCGGTGAGGTTTTCCCCGCATCCGGAGGAAGCGGAGAGAGAGAGCGCGCGCGTGCGCGGTGCGATCGGGAGTTGGATACGAACGGAAAACACGGCAACGGTCGATCGGCGCGGCAATCTGCGCAGGTGACCGTTACCGGCGGTCAAGACTCGACTGCTATTTTGAACTATTTTTCATTTTACCAACTTGACCTGTTTTTTTTAAAGAAACGACCTGGCCGTAATTGATAGCGCAACAAAGTGGCTGACCACGTGGAAATTTACAGCAGCTAAGCACTCTAAACGCACGTCGATTCTAAATGTGTAGGGAAAAACTGAAGGCAAATCCACGCGGCCACAGGGAGAGAGAGAGAGAGGCACGCAAACTCCAAATATACAACAGGCGTCAGGTCAGGATCGAACCCACAACCTCCTGTATACCAGGCGAGGTAGTTAACATCTCCTAGCCGTCGTGATGATGATAAGAGAGAGACACGCAAACTCCAAATATACAGCAGGCGTCAGGGTCGGGATTGATCTCACGACCTCCTGTATACCATGCGAGGTAGTTAACATCTCCTAGCCGTCGTGATGATGATAAGAGAGAGACACGCAAACTCCAAATATACAGCAGGCGTCAGGGTCAGGATTGATCTCACGACCTCCTGTATACCAGGCGAGGTAGTTAACATCTCCTAGCCGTCGTGATGATGATGAGAGAGAGACACGCAAACTCCAAATATACAGCAGGCGTCAGGGTCGGGATTGATCTCACGACCTCCTGTATACCAGGCGAGGTAGTTAACATCTCCTAGCCACCCGCGGCAGTTGTGAAGGAGGGAAACCCGCCGGAGGGAGTGCGTCCGCCCGCGGAGACAGAGCAGTGCCACCTGCATCGCGTCGCACGGATTTCTCCGTCGCGGGAGTCGCGAGAGGTGTACGACGGCTTGGGGAGGGAGGGAAGCCCTCGTCCGGCAGCGGATTGATCGCGACTGTGCTCCTCCCTCCCCTGTCCGCGCAGTGCATTCAAGGCCACCCACCCGAGCATCATGCCCCTGTACTTCGCCACCGACAGCGCCGAGGATATGTACAGGTGAAGTCGGGTGGAGACGTTGGAGGTCGCCACCTGTCCTGGTTTTACCCAGGATCCCCCCCCCCCCCCCCCCCGTTCGGCAGGCAGCTGCTCTCCTTGGCAAAAGCTTTGAGGTCTTCCCCAGTGGCGTTAAACACCCTCGTTTTCTGCCATTTGCAGAAGAGTAGCAGTAATGGCACGACACTCACTCTAGACAACATGTAGTGTCTTGGTGAGTGGATCTGTGGATGGGTGAGTGAGTGGGTCTGTTGATGGTTGAGTGAGTGAGTCTGGATGGTTGAGTGTGTGGGTCAGTGGATGGTTGAGTGAGTGAGTCTGTGGATGGAGGGGTGAGTGAGTGGGGGAATGAACGATTTTGTGAGTGAATGTGCGAGTGGGCGAGTGAGTGAGTCAGTGCATGGGTGGGCGAGTTGTGAGTGGGTGAGATGTTATAAAGTCAAATGTTTTGTCAGTTGCGTAACAATATGTTTCATAAACCTCTCGAGACAATGCCTTTGCATGCAGTTTCTCCCCTCTCTCTTCTGGTATTGCAAAATATTCGTCTTCACGTGATGTGTCTCTTGGCTTCTTGGGAGCGACTCACGACCACGCGTGACGATGGGTTCGTTTGGTTGCACTCGAGTCTATATTTTGAGGAACAAAAAATATCAACCCTCAACATTTTACAAACAACGCATCGGTGCCTGCAAACCGAGTGTTTCTGAAACAAGTCAGGAAAAAAAATCCTGCGTGCGTACGAAACGCGTGGCGCTTTCTCCTTGTCCTCCCGTCTTCGGCGTTATTTGATGAGCAGAACACAAGGCAGCGGGGGCAGCTGACAGGGCTTTTCAAAATCGTCCTCTGCCCCTCTGGATTACGCCTCCCAATTTCTGGGAAACCCTTGGCAGCGATTTGGCCGGTTTTCTGCCCCGCGGATTCTTTGCGGCAACAACGGCGCTCCGCTAAAGTTCCCTTCAAATTGGAACGACTTGTACGTGTATATGTTGAACTTCTTCCGCACCGTACGCAGCCAACCGTGCTGGTCTAGTTTTTGTTTAGTTTATTTTTTTACGAGAGCTACCGTGGTCCGCCCGCTACCGGAGAGACACCCACGACATACGGACGGACACGTGGGGATAAGTCCCTGCGAAGAGCAGCACAACCTTGTATGGCGTTTCTAACCATTTTTGGTGACGACCCAAGCGTCTCTTGCAATATGAGCCTCTATCCCCTGGTCCCCCACCTTGGTTACACACCAACCAACCTGAGCACCTGAAATCCTCCCAGCCCCCCCCCGCCCAGGTAGGCTCGGCAGTAACGGCCGCCGTGCTCTTTCCCCCAGGTGGATCGAGAAGCTCCGCATCGTGGCCATCGCCAGCCCGTCCACGGAGAGGCAGGACCAAGGTGGGCGCAGGATCACGTGGGCGGGGGGTGGAAGGGTGTGAGCTAGGGTGGGTGGAGTTGGGTGGGTAGGTGGATGGGTGGGTGGATGGGTGAGTGGAGTTGGTTGGTGGATGGGTGAGTGGGTGGGTGGGTGAGTGGGTGAGTAGGTGGGTGAGTGGGTGGGTGGGTGAGTAGGTGGGTGGGTGAGTGGGTAGGTGGATGGGTGGATGGGTAGGTGGATGGGTGGGTGGGTGGAATTGGTTGGTGGATGGGTGAGTGGGGGTGGGTTGGTCGGTGGGTGGATTGGTGGGTGATTGGGTGGGTGAGTGGGTGAGTGAGTGGGTGAGTGGGTGGGTGAGTGGGTGGGTGGGTGAGTGGGTGGGTGGGTGAATAGGTGGGTGGCAGTGAGGGTCTCCATCAGTTGCGGGGAGGGGGTGGGGGCGTGCCTGTGTAAGAGACATTCAACCAGCATCCTTGGAGGTCCTGGGTTGAACCCCGGGAAAGGGCATCTTTTAAAAGTCTGGGTCGTGGAAGTAGCTCCATTGCAAGCGTGGGCTTTGAGCTCTACACCCTGGGGGTAACCTTGGACTTTAAGAACCTTTGACAACCTTGGTTCGAACCCTGGGGTAGGGTGTCATTTACATGGCTGGGTCATGGAGCCAACAGCTTTGCAAGCCTGAGTTTGAGTCCTGCATCTGGATATCCCTCAGGACATTAAATGCATATTTTTGAGAGCCTGGGTTCAAGCCCTGGGACAGGTCGTCTCTTGAAATGGCGGCTCATCGAGCCCAGCACCTGGGTGTATCTGATGGCTTTAAGCCAGTGCCTTCGGAGGGCCTGGGTTCGAGCCCTGGGACAGGCGATCTCTAATGGCGTTGCGGCGCTGTGTCCAAATGGCCCGGCGCGTCCTCTCCCGATGACTCGTGCACACAGCCGCGGACGTGAGCGAGAGCGAGGACGACTCCGAGGAGGGCTCTGCCTACGGCTCCCTCCGCAGCTCCTCCTCCGTTCTGCGCGCCCCCTCCGTACGTAGACGCACGTACGCGTCTGTCTGTACCTCCGTCTGTCCGTGCGTCTGTCTGTGCGCGTGCGTTAATCGAGGTTGTTGGGTTAGGTCGCGTAAATATAAACGTGTCGTTAAACCCGCCACCACCCGACACGGCCAATTGGTAAGGTTTGTCACGAAACACAAAACGTGCCAATTTGTTACTGGTACAGCACACCGGTGTGCTGGAGAGTAAAACCACACGCCATGGCACAAGTGCGGTGGCTATGTCAACGCCACTTGGTGGTGAACGCCGGTTGTTATGTTATGCCTGTAACCTCGATCCCTGGACTGGGAACCTCTCCCTCACTGAGGGCCCTGCTGGGTTTCACGACTCCTTTGCAGGAGGGCCCTGCCCAAGCATTTGCTGTGTGGGGCCGGGGGGGGGGGGGAGCGACGATTTCCATCGAGCCAATCCCGTGTGGAAATGTGCGATTAAAACACAAACGTGTACTGCCCCTTCCCCCCCCCACGCTGCCCCCCTCCTCCCCCACTGCCCCCCCCCTCTTGCCCGCACAGCTGCCCGTGCTCAATATGCCCACGGGCCCCGTCAAGTTCCGGCACCCGTCGTGCGAGAGGCTGTGCCCCCTAGCATCCCCGGCGCCCAGCCTCTCCTGCCAGCAGCTGCAGTGGGATTCGCCGCCAGCTGCCCCAGCCGGCAACGTCACCACCACAGGCACCGCCACCACCGGCACCGCCGTGGCCCTGCGTTCCCCGGCCGCCGACCGCCGCTCACTCGCCGTTTCCCCGACGCCGTCGTTCCTCCGCCGCTCCTGGCAGGCGCTCTTCGGCGGCCACTGTGAACCGGAGCTCGCCGGCGTGGGGGCCGGCGCCACGCAGAACGACCACGCCGGCGGCGGCGGCCCCAGCGACGAGCAGAAGCGGCAGCGGCAGCAGCAGCGGCAGCAGGGCCACGCGCGGTCAGCTAGCGACGCGGAGCCGACGCCGAAGGCGGGCGCCGGGCGGACGGACGACGACGAAGGCGGAGAGAGGCCGATCGGCGCCCGCCGGAATTCCTGGCAGGGCCACGGGCCGGGGGCGGCCGCGGGGGCCGGGGTCGCCCGCGGGCGGCCGGAGATCGACGCCGTGGCGGGCGGAGGAGGAGGCTGGAGGGTGGGCTCGCTGCCGGATCTTCAGTCGCGGCATTCCGCGGCGTCGCGCGACGGAGGACGCCGATCGTGCGCCGCCGAGGTCGCGTCGCCGGTCGGGGACGAAGGTGAGCGGAGCCCCGGGCGGCCGCGATGGAGCGGCACGGCAGGGGGAGGTTAGGAGGGTGGGGTGGTGGAGCCCCCTGGTGAACATTGCCTCGGTGACAGGCGCACCGCGACCCGCTCGGCAATGGACAGAATCGGAATCTTTATTTAGACTGCAGTGCGAGTGGTTCGACAGGCTACAACGGCATGAAGGCAAACGTGTCCCAGCCCTGCGATTGGAGGACGGCTGGTTGCACCCACTCTGTGCTCCGCCGCACGTGAGCTGCCGATCGCGTTGCCGGGTGCCGGTAGCTCGTTCGCCGCCCGCGGCAAATTCCTCGCGAGAAACTCGGCAGCAGGGCCCCAAAAGCAGAATCTCGAGGATTTCCTCGGCGAGGCTGCGCGGAAAAACGGAACTGGAGTCGAACCCAGGGCCCCTCCCCCCCCCCCCCCTCTCGCTGTGGTCAACGCTGATCCCCGCCGGTATTCACGCCACGGTGGCGAGATGTTAGTTACCTCACCTGGTATACAGGAGGTCGTGGGTTTGACCCCAACCCCCGACGCCTGTTGTATATTTCGAGTTTGCATGTTCTCTCTTCCCGTGGTAGCGTCGACTTTCACCGGGTCCTCTGGTTTTTCCCTCCACGTTTAGAATCAACAATGCGCGTGCAGAGTATTTGGCCACTATAAATGTCCATGTGATGATAAGCCACTTCCTTGAGCTATCATTTGCGATAGCCAGGTCGCTTCTGAAATAGAGCTGCATAGCTCAGTTGGCCTTAACCGCTAAAATGAAAATAGTAACAAAAATGGTTTTATAGTTTTCAATCAAAGTCAAATTAATTATTTCATAATGCGAGCCACTTGTAGACTGAGCGCTACAAAGTTCCACGAAGTTCAGTGGGCCTTACCTGCCCACCCCTTCTCCCGCCCGCCCTCCCGCACCCCCTACACCCTCCCCTCGCCACGTGCCCCTCACCAGTGGCGGGCGACGACAGCTGGGACGAGCTGTACCACTCGCTGTCGCGGGCGCACCTTTTCCCGCACGGCGCCGAGCGCAAGGAGCGCAGCGCCAGCCAGCTGCGGCAGTCCTTCACTCGCCGCTGCCGCAACCCCGACATCAACCAGAGGCTGCTGAGGCTGCAGGCGCTGCACCGCACGCTGCAGGTCAGAGGGGGGCCCGCATCCCGTGCCCCATGCCCGTGTCCCACATCCCGCGTCCCGTGCCCACGTTCCGTGTCCCCCGTGCCCATGTCCTGTGCCCACGTCCTGTGCCTGCGCCTGCTCGTCAATTAAATCGCGGGGCTTTGCCATCCGATGCCGTGAGCCGGATTTTATGTTGGGCTAGGCCAGCGGTCGGCAACCTTGCGGCACCATCTCGTGTTCACCACGTGGCATTGCGGCTCTTGAGATATTGAAGAAAAATGGCTCTTTTTGTTATTTTGGTTGTCAAGTCCTGGGTTAGGCCCACGCGGCGCTCATGGTTGTCGCTAAGCCCCCTCCGCTGCGCGACGAGGTTGGTGCGACGAGGTTGGTGCGACGAGGTTGGTGCGTCGCACCGAATTGTGACCGGTAAAGTGCCTCGGATTGTTGCCGTGGTGACGGCGGCCGTCGCGGCGGGTTGTGTCGGTTCCTGATGCTCGTGCGGTGGTGTTGATGCTTGTGGTTGTGGGTGGCGATGGGCGGCGGTGGCGGTCATGGTGATGTTTGTGATGGTGGCGGTGATGCTCGCGGTTGAGATTGACTGTGGCGGTCGTTACGTCCACTGCTGCTGCTCCTGCTGTGGCGTCGGTGCAGGCCCGGGAGGCGGAGCTGCGCACGATCGAGACGCTGCTGAGCGCGGGCGCGGAGATGAGCGCCGGCGGCTTCCGCGAGTGGAAGGAGCAGCACGGGGAGCACATCCTGTCGCCGGAGCCCGCCGACACGGCCAACTGGCTCAGCGTCATCGAGGGCCAGACGCGGCCTACCTCCCCCGGGCCTTCGCGGACCATCACCGAGACGGAAATCTAGACTGCTCCGTCGGCCGTGTGCCGCGTGCCACGCGCTGGCACCCTCCCGTCCGATGCTGCGGCTTTCGACACATGTGTATATATTTGTTTGTCCGTGCGTACGCATCGTACCGCGCAGGGACAGCTTCTACTGGGAGGGAGGGGAGCGGCGGTCGGATAAGTGGCGTTGTGCTGTATGACGAGAACCCCCTCCTTGAAGCGGCTCAGCGGATGTGCGGCATCCAGGTGAATAACGGACAACGCCCGCCCCCCCGTAATGTGTCCATTTGGAGTTTGGACATCTTAAGCACCTCCTGTATTTTATGCTGGAAAAAGGGTGGAGCCTTTTTTTTTCTTTTTTCAATTTTTAAACCATTCAATTAATGAAAGTCGCGAACAATTCAGTCCATCTGGTATTCACGCCTGGCGCTCTTGCCGCGTGGGGCACTCGCAAAAACAGGCCGCTGCCGTGTTTCCGCACCTCCCAATAGCACGGTTGGTTGGCCATGTACGGTGTGAAAGAAGTTCAACCTACGTATGTACGTTTAACAGATGTAGGCTGCAGTAGTGGAGGGGAGCGATGCTGCTGCTGCTACTGCTGCTGCGTGTGGGCGATCCCGGTGGAGTAATTTGCAGTGTAATCTTTTTATTTGGGGGGGGCGGGGGGCGGGAAGCATTTGCCAAATTTGGACTGTCACGCCGGGACACTCAACGAATGACGTAGCGCGACCTTTAGCGTCCATCTGTACGGTCAACACACACACACCGCGCGGTTCACCGGCGGCGGCCCACCGGATTCGAGCCGCGTCACCGCCGCCACCAGCAACGATCGAGGAGCGGCGCGACTCCCGGACTCGACGCGGCGTCGCTGGCGCGGCGACGCGCGAAGAATGTTGTCGTCCGTCTCAAATCACGGACTGGGCGGTGGGACGACGATGACGACGATGACGACGATGACGACGGCGCCGCTCTACGACGACTGGCGGCGTCGTCTCAACGCGACGCGCCTCGCCGCTGTCGGCGGAAGGAAGGGGGGGGACAGCTCCAGAGCTGTTGTTGCTGTGAAGCCTTTTGAAAATGTTTTTATTGTATTATTATTCATATTTACCATCGGATCTTCCGTATTCAGGTTGCCGTCGCCACTGATAAATTCAAGCCTCGAGCACGATGTACCGTTGTTTTTTTGTTTATGTTTTTGTTCTTTGGAGAGACTGCACTGAGAATTGTTTTTGCTGTTTGCGTGCCGAGGTTTTTTTGATGCGCGTTGGTGACTTGCTTCGCCGCCTCTAAGAAGTCGTTCTTAGAACGTCAAAAAAAATAAGACTCCATCCATCTCGACGATTTCGTGGCAAATGTTTTATTGCAATTTTTATTTTTAAAATCCCCCCATTGATTTTATCCCCAATTGTGCTGTCGACATCGCGCCACGTGACAAAGAAAACATTCAGACCTCTCTCGCGGAGCCGTGTTCGAAAACGGGGCCCCGCTGAAGCGGATGTCAAGGAGCTACCGCTCAATGTCCCTTCAAGTAGGCCTCTGGTCCGTGCAGCAGAGGGCAGCACTTTCCAACTGTGCCACTGAGCAGTGAAATGTTCATCACACGATGGTCAAACCGATATTTAGGTTTTTTTGTACATATATAGTTTTTTAGAGCTGCCATTTACCAAGTGTTAATATTGTAACGAAAATTCAATTCGGTTGATTTTATTTCTCGCGCCCCCATCGTTGACCAGGCTAAAAGGCCGCCATCGGCTCGCTACGCCCGAGAACGCGGGTCGACCGCGGGCGACTGCCCCGGGGTTCGAACCCAGAATCCCGGCGGCTAAAGGCTCGGCGCTCTGACCTCAGACCTCCGATGCAGCCGGCCGCCTCTCTTCCACTGGACAAATCTCACCGTGCACTCGGCAAACCCACGCAGGCCCTTTGCAGGACTTGCGGCGTGGCCGTCCCCTCTCACCTTAGGTGCTCAATCGAGCCGCAATAAGGTCCAAGCGTCTTCCACTTGAGGAGGAGGAGTGCAGAACGCCACGCTGTTCGTTCGAAATCCGCGGGTGGGTGACGTAACGAACCTCTCTGTGGGTTTTATTTATGAAATGTGTTCCTTCGAAACGTTGCCCCCCCCCTGCTCCCCCCCCTGCTCCCCCCCCCCCCCTCGTGCATCGTTGTAGGATCTTCGCAAGATTTCGCAGCAGCGGGAGCAGCTGATGAATCTCTCGTGAAGCCAATGAAGACGAGAATTGTGTTCGATGCTTCGGCCCCGGGGGGTTGGGGGGAGGAGGGGCGGGGGAGGGGGCAATCCGTTTCGTAAAAAAAGATTTTGGTCGTCATCACCGCGAGCTCTCAACTGGTCCTTGAATAAAGGGGATTTAACTGTGCGATCATCGGCGTGTGTAATCTCAATGGCAAACTCCTCGTGGATTAGAGCCGAGGCAGGGCCGTTACTTTGTAAGCTGAAGGTGGAGCCCCACACACATTGCTCACGCAGCTACTCGTGAAAGTAGAAGGAGCTGTACCCCCCCCCCCCCCCCCAAGACGTTGTTTGGCCTACTCTTCCACGCTGGCGCCGACGTCCGTCTCGGAAAAGTTGGGAGTACCCACGGTTTACCCCACCACTGGAAACTGTCCACAGCCATTTGTGTTTGGGCGTTGACACGGCCCTGTCCGAAGCGCATCAGCCGCTCGTTGCAGAAGTTGGCCGTTCGACTGTCCTGGTGAATACCCGTCACGGTGAATGCCGCACGAGCATTCATCGTCACGGTGGACGTTAAAGATACCGCGACGTCATTCGAAGAAGAGTCGGCCGCTGTGTGACTGCATCGTGGTCTAAATTTTAAAATAATAATACCGCAAACCACTTGTATGTATGTATGTTTAACTTATTCTTTCGTACCGTACGCAACCAACCGTGCTAATCGTAGGTTGCGGGGGGAAGGAGAGCAAACTAAAAACAAGTCAAAGCAGCTCTGAAGAAATTCGCTTTCAACGCTGATTATTTGAAAGCGCACGGCTCCAGTGTCTTTTTAATATCGGAAGGCAGAAGCGCGCCAGACGGACGCAGAAGCGCACCACGGCGCGGCCGTCCTTGTTCGACGGCCGAGCCGAGAGCCGCCGATTTCCCTCCGGCTCCTCCGATTAGCAAAGGGGGTTGGCTGCGTGTACGGTGCGAGAGAAGCTCAACGCGCTCACGTGCTCACGTACGCACGAGTGTAGAAACATAGCAAGTGTCACCCCCCCCTCCTCCCCAGACTGCAAGCAGCAAAAACAAAAAAACTTGGCTGGGAGGCCCTCCTGAAAAAAACGTCCGTTACTCAGGCTTTCCTGGTTTACACAAGCGTGTTAATACTAATCATCATCACCATACTGCTTGGGTAGGCACAGAAGGCGCGGGTTTGATTTTAAACACACATCAGGTTGTGTTTCGAGCGCGCCAAAACAGCGTGGCGCGTAACGGCGCCGGGTTAGAAATGAGATTCCGATTCTGGGAAAACGAGAAATAACAATAACCGGCGCATCGAACGACGCCGCGATTTAAGTGAGCAGGTAAAACGCTCATCCCTCCCGCACAGCGCGGGCTAGCGGGCGCGAGGGAAATCTCTGTAAATGTAAGGAGCTCTGAATATTAAATTAGGGTTTTTTTTCATACAGCCGGCCCAAATGGGCCCTCCCAACCCACAGGGCCCTCCCAGCCAGTCGGCCGCACTGCGCCCATTCGCTTGCGATTATTTGGCCGCACACAAAACGGCAGAAACGTTTGAATAAAAGCAACTACTACTTTCTGTTTCGTGCCATTGAGATGCTAAGCAGCGGCAAATCCAGCTATTGGAGTTTTAAAACGATCTCTCGCTTTTTTGGGGGCGGTGGGAGGGAGGAGGAGGCGGGGGGGGGGGCTGTGTGGGGGGGCGTAGGGGGTGGAGAACTCTGCCAAGAAGTAGGCGGTCTGGAGTGTAAAGGGTTTGTGTTGGGATTAGGGTTAGTGAGACATATGTTCCCAAGCGGCGGCTATGAACACAGACACAAAACATCAGACTCTTCCCCCTGGGAAGCAGATGAATTCATGGCACTGCACGGCCCACCCACGTTCTTGTGTGGTGGCGGTGGCGAATTTGTGTTTTTTTTCTTCTTTTACGTGGGCGCTGGGACAGATTCCACGGGCGAGATGAGATTGTGCCACCCTCGGGTTTTCCTTCAGTGGGGTTCGCCGTTCGTGATGTCGGGGGGGGGGGGGGGTGCCAGCCGGCGTGTCGAGAAAACGGGGCGGCGGGGGCTGGGGAGGTAGAAACTGGACCGGGAACTCAAAAATTCAGTCACCCACCAACCCTCCCTCCACCCTTCCATCCCCCAAAAAATTACAAAGAAGATATGAATGTCCTATTTGTGGGAAATGTCCATATGGAGGTGTGTGTGTGAATGCGGCCACCCACCCCCTCGTGTGCCGTGATGCTAACAGCACTTGCCCCAAGTCGGTTAAGGCCATAAGGGGGATGTTTGTCTTTGTGGGGAGCGGTGGTGTAGCGGTTAGCGCGCTGTGCTACGAACATGTCCACCCGATTTCGATTCCCGCTGACGGCTAACAGCGGTGACGATTATCTTGGGCCTCCTCTAGGTCAACTCAGCCTCAAATGAGTACCCGGTGCGGTGTGGAAAACATCGCCACTCGGGAGACAAAGGCGGCCGGGCGTGGTGTAAGCCACCCACCCCCTCGTGTGCCGTGATGGCCTTCATAGGTGCTCGTTCACAGCACTTGACCCAACAGCCTGTTCAGGCTGTACGGGGGGGGGGTCTTTGTGTGTATGTGGAGGAGGCTCGTGAAGGACGCTGCTGGGCATTTTAGGCAGTCGCCCTCCAGCAACAACCGAGGGCAGAGGAGCGACGCTCACAACAACGAGCGGAGCGCCGGGTGACTAAAACACAGTAAGGGGCACAGGTGGTGCATCGGCCAGTCATCTCAGTCAACCCATGGCACCTGGGTCTGTCCTGTGACCTGCCAGCGACCGTTCGACACTTCACGTGGTCTTAACGTGCACACAGCCTGGCATAAGCGCCGTCTTAGTGGCGAATAGAGGTTGTTGTGTGTGTGTGTGTATGTCTTTTTGTACAAAGGTGGCCGGCGTGGTGTTGGCCACCCACCCCCTCGTGTGCCGTACCGGCCTTCATAGGTGCTCGCTAACAGCACTTGGCCCAACAGTCTGTTAAGGCTACACGGCGGGGGATCTTTGTCTTTGTCTGTTGGGCTAACAGCACAAGGTGGTAATCAATGGACTTCCTCTCGGGCGCGGCGTTCCATCCCTTGACTGCCGCTCCGTCCCTGGTCTCGACCACCGGCCCCCGTGCCTTGGAGCGACGCTGGCCAGGTCCTAACACGTCAACATTACGTCGGTAGCCTACGAATCGCGTGTGTGTGTACGTTGAACTTCTTTCGCACCGTACGTAGCCAACCGTGATCGTTCGGAGGTGCGGGGGTCCCCTGGGGTCGGGGGGGGGGGTGATGGAAGAGGACGCCAAACTCAACGCAAAAATCTTGATTTGAAGCTTTCGTGACTGCAGGAATCCATACTTTATGGTTCTTTCGGTAAAGTCACGTAGGTAGAAGAATAAAACAAAATAAAAATAACAACCGAAAGATGCAAAGAGTATGAACGCAAAAAACCAGCAGTTCTCGAGTTGAGTTGGTCGATCTCGATGATTGACAAACGTGCACGGCTCCCAGTGGCTCCCCGACATCGGAAGAAAGAAACGTTCCAGACGGCCGCATGGCTGCTCCACCTCGGCGCCTCCCCCCCTCGCCGCCCCCACCGCCCCCCCTCTCGCCGCCCCCACCCCCTGGCCACCCTCATCCCCTCGCCTCCCACCCAACGTCGCCTCTCGTCGCAAATCCCCGCACAATGCGCACGACGCACGGACGGAGGCTCGCGGAGATCGAGACGGATGGTGACGACACGGGACATTTTGTTGTTGTTGTTGCCAGTATCAAAGTATGATTACATAAAACAAAATCTGAATTGGTGTTCACACCTTTCTCGCAATGAAACAGAGAGGGCCGTCAAGATGCTCCAACACGGAAATTCAGAAACCCTTTGACGGGTGACGACTCCGGCAGGGGTTTAGCCAGCAGTGGATCGAGCATGGACGACGACGGCGACGACGACGATGATGATGACGATGGTGAAAGTGTGCGGGTTTTTTGTGTTGTTGTTGCTGTTAATGCCGAGGGCATCCAACGGATTTTGGTGGCCAGAAGGCTCTGCACGCAGGGACGATTGTCCGCTGCGACTCGGGGGATTTCGTAATCCCCCCCCACCACCACCATTCATACCCCCACCCCCCACCTCCACCCCCCCCCCGTATTAGCCCATCAAGCGACGGGCGATC